GTTTGTGCATATATATATACAAATGTGTGCATGTGTATATGTATATGAGTGTATGTGTATATATGGTGTATTTTGGGGGTTTTTAAGTCTGCTCTGCTGGGGTTTTGTGTGTGTGTCTGTGTTTTAGGGGTGATGGACACTCGTTGGACTGTTAGGTGTATTGTGTCCAAATTTCGTGTCAATTCGTCCAGTGGTTTTTGAGTTATGTTAATTCCGCAAGCATCCTGAGCTCTGAGGATCACCTGGGAAGGAATCCCACTGGAGCACTGCAGCGCACCCAAATATCTGGCAGTCACCCTGGAGTGCTCTGACCTACAAGAAGCACTGCCTGAATATCAAGCAAAAAGTGGGTGCTAGAAACAATATCATACGAAAGCTGACTGGCACAACCTGGGGATCACAACCAGACACAGTGAAGACATCTGCCCTTGCGCTATGCTACTCTGCTGCTGAGTACGCATGCCCAGTGTGGAACACATCTCACCACACTAAAACAGTGGATGTGGCTCTTAAGGAGACATGCCGCATTATCATGGGGTGTCTGCGTCCCACACCACTGGAGACATTACAATGTTTAGGATGGTATTGCACCACCTGACATCCGCCGGGAAGTAGCAGCCAATAGTGAAAGGACCAAGGCAGTGACATCTCCAGCTCATTCCCTTGTTTGGGTATCAGCCAGCACGTCAATGACTTAAATCAAGAAATAGTTTTCTAAGATCTACAGAGACACTCACTGGAACATCTCAGCAAGCGAGAGTCCAAAAGTGGCAGGCTCAAACCCAGAACCTCAACCAATGGCTGATACCAAATGAGAGACTCCCCCCTGGGCACATGGAAAACTGGGCGACTTGGAAGGCGCTGAACAGACTGCGCTCTGGCAGCACGAGATGCAGAGCCAATCTTAAGAAATGGGGCTACAAAGTGGAATCCACGACATGCAAGTGCGGACAACAGCAAACCACTGACCATCTGCTGCAACGTAACCTGACCCCTGCTACATGCACAATGGAGGACCTCCTTGAGGCAACACCAGAAGCACTCCAAGTGGCCAGATACTGGTCGAAGGACATTTAATCAACTACCAAGTTTGCAAACTGTGTTTTTTTTAACCTGTTTGTTTGTTTTGTTCTATTAGAAATGTAATACAATGGTCTGGTTGCCCCTGACACGAAAAATAAATAACCCCACAAACGAACATTATTATTTATATAGATTATATATATGGTATTATTATTAGTATTCTATTGTATGCCATTATAATATTATTATCAATATTATCTGTATAGACAATATTATTATATTCACCATTGCCTCACCACCAGCTATTTTCAGTGGGACAATGAATTCTATGAACAGAAAGATGGAGTAGCTATGGGGAGCCCTCTCAGCCCAGTCATAGCTAACTTCTACATGGAACAATTTGAAAAACAAGCTCTTGAAACAGCAACCAAAAAGCCCACTATATGGTTCAGATATGTGGATGACACTTTCACCATTTGGAGCCATGGAGATGAAGAACTCAACAGGTTCCTGGAACATCTTAACAGCATCCACCCTAACATCCAGTTCACTATGGAAAAAGAAAAGGAAGGAAGACTGCCTTTTCTAGATGTCCTAGTCATCCGCAAACCAGATCAACAATTGGGTCACACCGTTTACAGAAAACCCACACACACAGATAGATATCTACATAAAAACTCCAACCATCACCCAAGTCAAAAAAGAAGCACCATTAAAGCCTTGGCAGACCGTGCAAAAAGAATCTGTGAACCCCACCTCCTCCAAGATGAACTGAACCACCTCAACTGGGCTCTCCAGGCCAATGGATACTCCACCTCAGACATCAGAAGAGCTGCAAGACCAAAAACAAGCCACGAGAGTAAAGATGAAGATCCACCCAGAGGAAAAGTGTTCCTGCCATACATTAAGGGGAACCACTGATCGCATAGGGAAGCTGATGAGGAAACACAACATACAAACAATCTACAAACCCACCAGAAAATCCAACAAATGCTACGTTCAGCAAAGGACAAGAGGGATCCTCTCACCTCTGCAGGAGTCTACCGTATACCATGCAGCTGTGGACAAGTCTACATAGGGACCACCAAACGCAGCGCCCAGACACGCATCAAGGAACATGAAAGGCACTGCAGACTACTTCAACCAGAGAAGTCAGCCATAGCAGAGCACCTGATGAACCAACCTGGACACAGCATTTTATTTGAGAACACAGAAATGCTGGACCACTCTCACAACTACCATGTCAGACTACACAGAGAAGCCATTGAAATACACAAGCATGTGGACAATTTCAACAGAAAGGAGGAAACCATGAAAATGAACAAAATCTGGCTACCAGTATTAAAAAAAAAAAACTCTAAAATTACACCAGCACAACAACAGAGAGGAAACAAACAAGGACATCTAATCACCTCTCAACAAAAGTCCAGGCACTGTCAGGCATTTATGCTAATCAAGGTGGTCAGTTGAAAAGATTCACACCTAGCCCAACACAAAAGCCTTTTGTCTCACCCTGGTCATTCCACAGATATATAAACCCTTTTTCCCAGCTCCAGCAGACCTCTGAGGAAGCTTGCCATAGATGCAGGCGAAACGTCAGGAGAAATGCCTCTATAACATGGCCATATAGCCCGAAAAAACCCACAAGAACCAATATTATATTATTCGCATTGCACAATATTAGGATTATATATCACTCTACTGTACTATACCACTAAACTGTATTATTATTATTATTAGTAATATTATCATTATATTATAATAAGATAATATTATTAGCAATATTTTAATAATATTACTAAATAAGGCCATTTTTTCCAACAGCTGTCCCCAGACAGCATCCAAGTTTGGGGCAGTGGGCGAGGCCTTGTGCTGCTCAGGGGCGGGGCTTCTAGAAAACCACACCCCTTTCCCCGCCCCCGCCCTGTCCTCGCCTATTGCTCACTTCCTTAGGGCCAGGGGGCGTGGCCTTTCCCTGCCCAGGGGGCGTGGCTTACTCCCCAAACCCCACCCCTAGGCTTACCTCTTCCCCTAGGCTCAGTTGTTGCTTGGTGGACTCTTGGGCTTTCTTTCTGCTCTTGTTTGCAGCCGCTTGGCCGGCTTCGCCCGTTGGCCCCATTGTGACGCAGGAGGTCACGTGGCCGCCCAGGAACAGGCCTCATCTGGGACTGCAAAGCCCAGAATACACCCATTGTCATTATTGGATTTAGATGGGATTTTTTTTAAAGGGCCAGGACAAGGGCTGAGCCTTGGGCGGGGGGATATGTACTAGTCAAGGGCTACATTTATACTACACTACTTTCACTGCCATGGCTTAGTGCTATAAAGCACTGGGAGTTGTAGTTTGCAGACAACTCCTATGATCCCATATCATTGAACCCTGGCAGGGGTCAAACTGCATTCATTCTGCAGTGCAGATGCACGCTACCTCCCTTGTCGAGTTCACCAGCATGCTGGGAGTTGTAGTTTTGTCTTTGAGTGCTCCAGCTGGAGGTCAGCTGTAACCAGCAGTGCTGTAGAATTTAAAGAGGCATGGATGGAGGGTGAAAGAGAGAAACGTGCCAAGAGGAAGGCACGTCAAGCCAACCCCGATCGGGACCACCGTCCACCTGGAAACTGATGCCCTCACTGCAGGAGAAGATGCGGATCAAGAATAGGGCTCCACAGTCACCTACAGACACACCACCAGGACACTGATCCTACTCAGACAACAAGGGATCACCTAAGTAAGTAAGTAAGTCCACATTGCAAAGTCCACATTGATTGTGGAAGCTAAGCAGGATCAGCCCTGGTTCGGACTTGGGTGGAAGATCAGCGATGCATCCCAGGCAGGGGCAGCTCAACCCATTACGCAAAGTAAGCATTTGCAGTAGAGTTGATTTTGCCCAGGGGCGCTCTTGAGGCACTCTTGGGGGAAAATAGACCTTGACGTATGCGAATTGTAGTTACCAGGATGTATAGTTCACCTACAATCAAAGAGCATTCTGAACTCCACCAATGATGGACTTGAACCAAATATGGCACACAGAACTCCCATGACTAACAGAAAATATATATCAGTGATTTTTGGGGGGGGGGGGGGGGGGGCCAAAATACTGTTTGCTTACCATTGAAAATTACCTAGGGCCACCTCTGATCCCAGGTCATCGTTCAGAGCAGTGTTTCTCCACCTTCCTAATGCCACGACCCCTTAATACAGTCCCTCATCTTGTGGTGACCCTCAGCCATAACACTATTTTAGTTGCTACTTCATAACTATTATGTTTTGCTCCTGTTATGAATCGCCATGTAAATATCTGATATGCAGGATGTATTTTCATTCACTGGACCAGATTTGGTACAAATACCCAATACGCCCAAATTTGAATACTGGTGAAGTTTGGGTGTGTGTGTGTGTGTTGATTTTGTCTTTTGGGAGTTGTAGTTGTTGGGATTTATAGTTCGCCTACAATCCAAGAACTCCACTATCGATGGAATTGAACCAAACTTGGCACACAGAAAACCAACAGAAAGGTGAGAAACGCTGATTCAGAGGAAGGCATGTCCAACAGAAAACACTAGAAGGATTTAGTGGGCATTGACCTTGAGTTTTGGAGTTGTAGTTCACCTACATCCAGAGAGCACTGTCAACTCAGACAATGATGGATCTGGACCAAACGTGGCTCAAATACTCAATATACCCAACTGTGAACACTGGTGGAGGCTGGGGAAAATAGACCTTGATATTTGGGAGTTGTAGTTGCTGGGATTTATGGTTCACCTACAAACAAAGAGCATTCTGGACCCCACCAATGTAAAAATTGGGCCAAACTTCCCACCAGGACCCCCATGACCAGCAGAAAATACTGTGTTTTCTGATGGTCTTTGGTGACCCCTCTGACACCCCTCGCGACCCCCCCCCCCGGGTTCCTCCCCCAGGTTGAGAAACGCTGGTTCAGACGACAGCAAGGCACATAACAAGAAACAGATAACACTGGTTTAGAGGCTGGACTTTTATTACCAAAGAGCCAAACATTCATTGCACACCACTGTTGTAATGCTAATTTTTTTTATTTATTCCAAATGTTTTCCACATGCACAGTAGCCACTAATGAAGAAAGCAGCCACAAACAGAACTTGAAAATCTTGAGACATCCTGTCAAACTCACCCAAGGTTACCTATGAAAGATAACAGAGGGCTCCTCTGCCTTTAATGAGAAGTTTCTTCCTCCTGGTAACTCTTAAAGGTACAGGAGCCCTGTCCTGTCTTTCCACAGGGCCACTCAACCTGCTGAAATCATGCGCCAAAGCTTTCGTATGGGCTTCACTTGCAGTGTTTGGTGTCCATGTTCTTGTAATCTTTGTTGTATGGGGCACCCGCAAAGCAGATGGCGGCACTGCGGTCGCAATTGCAGATAAACGCCTCACATTCATTATTCTCTTCTAGAGAAAGAGACAAGGGAAAGAGGGTGGAATGGGAAATAAAGCAAACACTTTCCATTGACCCCCCCCCCCCCCCCCCCTGCCGCCGCCCCAAACAGCATTTTGAGACAATCCAGATATCCGGTTGTTTAGGCCCCCCTGGTGCTTTATAATTAAAAGCTTCCTGTTTGCGTCTGATTTTTATTTTATTTTATTGCTCCCCATGAATGTGGCCACTTTTCATGTTCCATGGCTGCAAGCAGAGCATTGGGACCATCATGGACTCATAAATTTGGCTCTCAAATTGTCTCCTTGTGGAAAATCCTTTAACCAAAGTCACAGTAGCCCTGTCTCCTTTCATGGGAGCATCTCAAGTGGGCAATGGATTAGCAGTCATGTATCCATCATTTCACTAAAGGTACAGTAGCCCTGTCTCCTTTCATGGGAGCGCCTCAAGTGGGCAATGGATTAGCAGTCATTTATCCATCCTTTCACTAAAGGTACAGTAGCCCTGTCTCCTTTCATGGGAGCGCCCCAAGTGGGCAATGGATTAGCAGTCATTTATCCGTCCTTTCACTAAAGGTACAGTAGCCCTGTCTCCTTTCATGGGAGCGCCTCAAGTGGGCAATGGATTAGCAGTCATTTATCCATCCTTTCACTAAAGGTACAGTAGCCCTGTCTCCTTTCATGGGAGCGCCCCAAGTGGGCAATGGATTAGCAGTCATTTATCCGTCCTTTCACTAAAGGTACAGTAGCCCTGTCTCCTTTCATGGGAGCGCCTCAAGTGGGCAATGGATTAGCAGTCATTTATCCATCCTTTCACTAAAGGTACAGTAGCCCTGTCTCCTTTCATGGGAGCGCCCCAAGTGGGCAATGGATTAGCAGTCATTTATCCGTCCTTTCACTAAAGGTACAGTAGCCCTGTCTCCTTTCATGGGAGCGCCTCAAGTGGGCAATGGATTAGCAGTCATTTATCCATCCTTTCACTAAAGGTACAGTAGCCCTGTCTCCTTTCATGGGAGCGCCCCAAGTGGGCAATGGATTAGCAGTCATTTATCCATCCTTTCACTAAAGGTACAGTAGCCCTGTCTCCTTTCATGGGAGCGCCTCAAGTGGGTAATGGATTAGCAGTCATTTATCCATCCTTTCACTAAAGGTACAGTAGGCAATGGATTAGCAGTCATTTATCCATCCTTTCACTAAAGGTACAGTAGCCCTGTCTCCTTTCATGGGAGCGCCTCAAGTGGGCAATGGATTAGCAGTCATTTATCCATCCTTTCACTAAAGGTACAGTAGCCCTGTCTCCTTTCATGGGAGCGCCCCAAGTGGGCAATGGATTAGCAGTCATTTATCCGTCCTTTCACTAAAGGTACAGTAGCCCTGTCTCCTTTCATGGGAGCGCCCCAAGTGGGCAATGGATTAGCAGTCATTTATCCGTCCTTTCACTAAAGGTACAGTAGCCCTGTCTCCTTTCATGGGAGCGCCTCAAGTGGGCAATGGATTAGCAGTCATTTATCCATCCTTTCACTAAAGGTACAGTAGCCCTGTCTCCTTTCACTAAAGGTACAGTAGGCAATGGATTAGCAGTCATTTATCCATCCTTTCACTAAAGGTACAGTAGCCCTGTCTCCTTTCATGGCAGCGCCTCAAGTGGGCAATGGATTAGCAATCATTTATCCGTCTTTTCACTAAAGGTACAGTAGCCCTGTCTCCTTTCATGGCAGCGCCTCAAGTGGGCAATGGATTAGCAATCATTTATCCATCTTTTCACTAAAGGTACAGTAGCCCTGTCTCCTTTCATGGGAGCGCCTCAAGTGGGCAATGGATTAGCAGTCATTCATCAGTCCTTTCACTAAATCTGCAATAACCCCATCCCCTTTTAATGGACCCCACCCCAAGCAAACCATGGATGGAATCAGCAGTGTTTCTACATGCATTTACCGCTGCAGGTGATCTCAGTGCCCGAACAGCTGTAAGCGTAGGTCTTGGTGTATGGGTTGTCCAAGAGGAATTTGCAGTTTGGGTGCTTCTTGGCTTCCGAGTAGCACCCGTCGTGGATTTGGCAGCACCTGCTCAAGAAGCAAAACATACGGAATGATTTTGCCAAACTCAACATTCCTTCCAGGCAAGACCAGGGACCTGAAGAAAGCTTGGAAGCATTGGGCAGAATGTTCTGCCATGGGCTGCATCACCCGACTCTATACAGTAGAAACACTGAGAAACCTGGCTAGTAGATTGGGAAGATGGGGCAGTGGGGAACTGGACAGCAAATGTCCTAATATGCCCTTTTTGAGCAACAAGGGATGCATTGCTTTCCCCAGTGGACCATGCTTCGGAGACAGGCATCATAGGGAAAGCCCCAACTTACGTGTCCAGGTCATCAACAGGAGTCCCGCTGCCCCCCAAACCACAGTAGCAGCCGTAGTTGTTATAGTCCTTCAGTGGGTCACTGCTGGGAATGGTGCACTTGATCATGTTGCGGAATTGCCACAGGTTGCGGGGAATGGCATCATGGGCCATGCCAACTGGAAGAGAAAGAGGGAGGAAATGGGTAGAGGGCAGCATGTGGGCAGGAGTTGGCTTTGCAGTTACCCTGAAAGCATATCGTTCTGACTGTTGGAGGGTGACTGGTACATCTTTCCAGATATTTGTATTTTTGAAAAATATATGTTGGTTTTCTGTGCTCTTTTAACTGGTGTTATGAGTTGATTTTTAGTTGGTGTTGCGCTATTCTGTTCAACCTATTGGTGCCTCCCCAAACTACCACTACTACTATTGGTGCCTCCCTAAACTACCACTACTCCCCAAACTACCACCACCACCACCACCACTACTACTACTACTAATAATAATAATAATAATCGTATTATTATTATTATTATTATTATTATTATTATTATTATGCCAATTTAACGTACAAAATAGATAAGATTTGCTAGATCAAAACTATGCCTGGCCCTAATATTTTAGGGCCAAAAACCTAATGATGTGATATCACCAATTTATTTACTGATTTATTTACTTCATTTCTATCCTGCTCTTCTCACCCTGCAGTGTACAACATACATCTAGGCAAAAAGTCAATGCCTCATTACACAAACCAAATGAACATAACATAAACTCAGTGGAAACAATAAACACATAAATACAACTTAAACCATTAAACATATTAAAACGCAATAACCCCGTACACAAATAGCGAATTGTACCAATCCCTTAATCATAATTCAGCTGCTTAATTTCTAACTGTGTCATTATAGGGTGTTGGACTACGTTTCTGTCACTCATCAGACTTGCATAGTGGTTTCTCAAGTATCTTGGTCAAGTAGCAGCATCACAGTCCAAATGCGGCCCCGGGTGGCGCCTTTAAGCGAATGCCCAAAGCAATGATTCCCAACCTTTTTTTGACCAGGGACCACTTGACCAAGGGACCACTTTGACCAGGAACCACTCTCCAACATTAGTACCAAAAGGGTTACAAATCGGTTTTTAGTCAACTTTAGATTTGGTTTGGGGTGCTGATTGAGAAAATTGCATTGGATAGACCATATCAGCTCTAGTTTCTGATATTTGCCATGGTCAGGACAAGGAAGAAGTGGCAGGCGCCGCAAAAGGAGTGGAAATTTAAAAACAATAAAGAGGAAGGAGGCTTGCAGACCAGATTTTCATCCTCGCAGCCCACAGCTGGTCCACGGCCCACAGGTTGGTCTGGCTGAGAAAAGCGGTATACAGTGTGTGTGTGTGTGTGTGTATAGCATCAGCCATAGTTGCACAAAGCATGCTTTTTTAAAAAAACACAAATTTATGGAAAGAGGAAAATATCTATATATATGCACACAGTTATCCCTTTCAAAGCAGTGCTATGCACTAAGGTCTGGCAACTCTAAATATGCTTTCGGAGCTCACTGGGGTCTTCTTCAGACACAGATTAAATATCAATCAGGAGAAGAAAAGGAACAGAATCAAGAGTCATAGGCTGGTATCTAGTTTGAGACGTTTACTTCTGTTAACATTTCAGACTGCCTTGTCTGTGGAAGAAGCCAGTGAGTTCTGAAAACTTGCACATGTTTCCGTGGCAGTGGAAAACAGCTGTATATTTTGAACCTTCAAACTGGCTCAATAAAAGCATTTGCCATGTTGTGGATTTTGTTGTATCCTTAGACACATTTTCTACTTTCTCAAGCTTTCCTCGCCCTTTCCAGGCTCATAACTTGTTTCCTTATGGAAAAACCATTGGACTTCTCCCTCCTACCTTAAGAGGAAACTTCCTAAGTTGCCAAAATCCCTTTCAGGTCTCTTCGGCATGCCACCCTAATGTGGGCAAACCTCCGCTCTGCCAGGCTTAGTGAACCTCAACTCACCTGCGGCCAATACAAAGAGAAGCAGGAGGTTCATGATGTCCGCAGCCCAAGTCCTGGTGCCACCTCAGGACTTCTTGGCCCCTTTTATAGCCTGGCCTCACCTTGGCACCGACGGCCAAGATAAGAGCACCCTGTTTGCTTTTCTATAAGCATCTTTCGTCCGTCAGAACAAGGCAGCCTTGTTCAAAAAGGAACGTCCAACTGGTTTTCTTTCCAGGAATTACTGTGTTTGGTTTGACTTTGAAACTCCTGTGAATTGGAGGAAATCTCTTTTCCCAGTTTGAACTGGGCCCGGGAAGCGAAATATAGAGGGTAGCAGTGGACCTTTCCTCTTTAGAGATCTTTACACATGGATTAGATCTGGGCATCTTTCGGGGGCTGGGGGGGGGTGGCTTTAGTTGTGTTTTCCTGCCTCGCAGCATGGGGTTAGACTAAATGGGTCTTGGGGTCCCTTCCAATCCTTGGATGCGGCAGGAAACAATTTATGAGTTCAATTTATGAAAAACAGCCCAGACCAAGTACTGCAAAACCATTTCGGGTTCCTTGGTCCCTGGGTATCAGAGGCCATATGAAGAAGGGGGCAATGGTGCCAGAATGTCTTTTCTTGGGTTTTCTGACAATGAGGGTGGCATTTGTGCCAAAACATCTGCTTCAGAACTCGGGTATTACAGCAATTTTTCTTTTTTGTCGTGTGAGGAGTGACTCCTGGTGTGAGAGCAGCAATGACCTCAGTAATCTCTAGACTGCTTTGGGATGGGCCATGCTAATCGCCAGGCATGCCAACTTCCACCCAAAATGCCTGTTTGGCGGAAAAAGTGCCACTCATAAATCACCCCGCCACCTGCAACAGGTGGCCAAGCACCCACAGTTGGAAGGAGAGGGCCCTTGGGTCCCCAGAGGAAACGTTCCCATGCCAAGGGCAGCGCTTTGCCCAGAACGAGTGTCACTACCCTCCCCATCAGCGATTAGGGCCCAGTTCGCCGAATGTTGTTTTTCTTCCCTCTTGTGAGGACTTGGTCAGGCGGGCCTGCTCTCAGGACATTGGCGCCTGCCCATGTTTCCGTGGCAGTGGAAAACAGCTGAAGTGAAGCCCTGGCATCCGCCCAGCTCAATCCTCACCATCCGTTTGCCAGCCACCTGTTCTTCTGGGAGGGAGGAAGCCAACAGTCTTTGGAGGCGTGGGGTCGGGGATTGGAAGTATGCCTTTCGTCGTGTGCCTTCAAGACACTTCCGACCCACGGCAAGCAATCCTATCACAGGGCTTTCTTGATCAGATTTGCACCAGAAAAAATTCGTCTTTGCCTTCCTTTGAGAGAGCGCGACTTGCCCAAGGTCATCCAGGGAGTTTCCAGGGCCAAGCAGGGATTCAAACCCTGGTCTCTGGAGTCATATTCCAACACTCAAATGCCACACTGGCTCTCTAAGGATATCTGCTCCATGCATGAAACTAGTACAGGAAAACATATTTCTTTTCCTTCCGTGTAATTTCTGCCTCTGGTTCCAAAGTTTCTGTAAGGTGATGCTCAGAAAAGCATTTATTTCATAAACTGAGATATAGCTGTGTATATGTTTATTTTTCTATCTATTTGAGATGGGTTAATGTATGCCAGGCATGGGCAAACTTCGGCCCTCCAGGTGTTTTGGACTGAAAAAACTTTGGCCCTCCAGGTGTTTTGGACTAAAGCCGAAGTTTTCCCATGTCTTGTGTATGTTAATGCATTAAAGGGACATCTAGATATGGCTTTATAATTCCTGCCATCTGATGTCCCATGGAAAACAATGACGGGTCCCTTTTTCTGACATTTTCCTTTGGGTCGAGATCCCGAACGCATAAGTCACAAACCACCACCGAAGCCAGAAGGTCATTTTTCAAATAATTTATTAGGAATTTAAAACCGAAAATCTGGAAAAAGGGGTTACAGGTCTGGAGAGAACAAATGTCGGCGTGTAATAAAACCGGCTTCATAAAAACCACAGCTTTATTATTATGTTTTTTATTATTTTTTTTCTCTGTTTTTCTTTCTTTATTTTTTAGAAAAAAAGGAACCCCCCACACAAGAAGTCGCTCCCAAAGGGGACGATGCCCAAGAGGCGGGCAAAGAAAGCAGCTTCATCTGTATGTGTGTGCCAAGGAGGTGGCACGGCAGTGCCGTCCTTCGCATTGGCACATCCCAATCCCACCCTCCTCAGGCCAAAAAAAAAAAAAGGAACTCTGGAATAAAAATAAACCCCATTAAGCTGCAGCTGCTCTTTCACTTCTTTTCTTTAAAAATTAAAAAAAAAAAAGACAGACAGACAAGATTCAGCTCAGTAACAAAAAAATTATTGCTTTTTTTGTGTGTGTTTCCGGTACTGATTTGCTCGGCTCCTCTCCGCCGAACTCTCCCAATATTTGTCAAGCTGCTTTTGGGGGTGATCCGGGGACAAGATCAGTAAAGAGAAGGAAGGTAGGTAAACGGAAAGCGTGGGGGGGGGGAGAGTGTTGAAGGGGGCACGGATAGAGAGACACTGCTGCCTATGGAAGATTTGATGCTGTTGGCTGAATCTAATAATAAAGGAATGTAAGATTCTTGGAAGATGCCTTACACTGAGCCTTCGCCTGAGAGGTGTCCCTATCTTCCAAGCTTTGAACATCCCCCAATAGAGAGATGCCCTCATGCAGAGATCAGCAGCCCAAACCCACCTTGGTGTTAGGCCCATTGCTTGTCTCAACCAGTACAGACCCATGGGCACAATTGGACCGACCTCCATGCTGACTCACCATACAAATGATGGAGTTGTTGTTGAAAGGAACCAAGAGAATCCCAGTGCTTGAAATGTTGCTCAAAAAGTAGGACAAGATCAGAGCACTGAAGGCATTGACTTGGTCCCTCCCAACACTCCTTATCCTTTCTACTTGACATGGGATCAGGTATTGGGGGTAAAATGAGGGCTATCGAGGCTGGCGCCGCCAGCTGTGACTGGCAGTCTCTCTCTAGCCAGGCTTTTAGGCAGGATCTGTTCCTAGCTATACTTGGAACTGTCTGGTTTTCTCTTCTGGAGACCAAACCAGGTCCAAATGAAGCCCTAACTCTCCCTAGAAGCCAAGATGAAGACACCAAGGTTGTCATATTTTGGCCAGATCATGAGAAGACAGGACTCACTAAGAAAGACAAGGAGCTGTAAGGAAGCAGTAAGAAACAAAGGAAGACAGAGATGGAGAGACTCAGTCAAGGAAGTTACAGCGGCCCTGAGTTTGCAAGACCTGAACAGGGAGACATGGAAGCCTTTCATCTGTAAGAACGGGAAGAAACTACATCAGGATGCAGTCAGGGGATATCTAGAAACCTGCATTTGACAAAGACCTGTTTAAAAGCTAACATACAAAGGAAGCCAGTAGTATGCATCACAGATAAGTGGCCCCCCTGTATCAGTTCAGGGACCCAGTCAATACCACAATCTGTGGATGCTCAAGTCCCATTGTACCCAATGGGGTAGTAAAATGACATCCCTTATATAAAATGGCAAAATCAAGGTTGGCTTTTGGAATTTTTTATAAATATTTGTAAGTCATGGATAATGGGATCCGTGGAGGCAGAATCCATGGATCTCACGGCAGGGAAACTATATGAATGGGAAGAGCTCTTGAGACAAGAAGCACACAGTCTCCCCCCATTCCTGGAAAACAATTTGCTACAGTTTAAGGAAAGCATTATAACTCAATTCAGTCAAAGAGAATCAACCAGTCATCCCGGCTTTTGTCTCCTTGCAGTTGCTGGTCAAATAGGTTTTGAGGGTTTTTCGGCAAAGCTTGCTTGGCCAGAGATAACCACAGGATAAAGAAGAAAGGACAAATTGGGGATGGTGCAGTTGCCTTTCCCTAATTACTAATGGGTCTGTGGGATGGTACCGAGAATGCCTAGAGAAAGGGTCGGAAGTGGGCATTCTTCCCCGAAAAGTACCAAGTGATTCTGAGAATACCCCTCCCCACACCGTTTTCGTCGCCACAGCCAGCCAATACCACCCCACCCCCACAAACAAGCACAGGGGATGCCCAGTTTGCCAACAGTTTGAACCCTAACCCACGCGTTGCCACCCTGGCAGAGGAGAAGTGGCAGGAAGCAGCACCAGCTCTACCACTCCCAACATCCCTGAGAAGATCCAAGATCCCCCTTCCTTGCCATACTTGGTCCAGATCAGGGGTGCAGCTATGGGGTGGGGGCAAAATGAGGACATGGCCTCCCTCTAACAAATTCTGTCTCTTTTAGAAAATTCTCCTCCAGTCCCTAAATCTCTTAAATTGCGGTTGCAGAAAACTCCATCTGAGCCTTTGGAAATATGAGTTGGGATCCTGCGCAGAAGTTACAAAGTTGGACTTAGGCTTGCTTGTGGATATGAGCAATCCAGTGGGAGCTCATGGCTGCAACTCAACTGAAGCAGGTTTGAATCAAGACCCAAGAAAAAGATGCCTGCAGCGCTATCCCAGTTGTGGGGTGTCCTGAGGGCAAGCAGTCATAGCAGGACACAGGGGACGCTCCAGTTGCCTGTTTTAAAGACAATGGAGAGGGCTGGGGGGGGGGGGGGGGGAGGGGGGAAGGGGAAAGAAGTATTAAAGGAAGAGAGGGGGAAGAGAAGGGTGAAAGGGAAGAGAAATGGAAAGAAGAAATAAAGGAAGAGAGGGAGGGAAGAAAGGGAGGAGAACGACTAAAAGAAGGAGAAATGGTAAAGAGTCATTTACTTGGAAAACCTGCAGGCAGGAAGGGAGGAAGAGAGGGCGAGGGAGGAGAAGGACGTAAAGAAGGAGAAATGGAAAAGAGACATTCACATGGAAATCCTGCAGGCAAGAAGGAAGGAAGGGAGGGAGGGGGACAGAAAGAAGGAGAAATGGAAAAGAGACATCCACATAGAAATCCTGCAGGTGAGAAGGGAGGGAGGGAGGGAGAAAGGGAGAGGAGAAGGACGGAAAGAAGGAGAAGTGGGAAAGAGACATTAACATGGAAATCCTGCAGGCAAGAAGGAAGGGAGGGAGGGAGTGAGCAAGGGAGAGGAGAAGGATGAAAAGAAGGAGAAATGGAAGAGACATTAACATGGAAATCCTGCAGGCAGGCAGGCAGGCAGGCAGGCAGGCAGGCAGGCAGGCAGGGAGGGAGGGAGGGAGGGAGGGAGGGAGGAGGAGAAGGAAGAGGAAGGAGAAGGAAGGAAGGAAGGAAGGAAGGAAGGAAGGAAGGAAGGGGAGAGAAGGACGGAAAGAAGGAGAAGTGGGAGGAAAGAAGGACGTTCACATGGAAATCCGGCAGGCAGGCAGGAAGGCATGAGAAAAAGTAAGTTAGAGAGGGCGTCGTGAGACATAACAATGGTGGAGATGTATCACTGTGGTTTCAAGCACATTTCAACTGTTCCACGAAAAATGAAAAACACAGCAGAAGAGCGAGTTCCATGGTTTTCAATGACTCCCTCCCTGCAAGGCAGGACACTTGGGGACTGAAGGAGAACTTTTGCGGAAAGGGCAGAATTCTCATTAGATTGCCATGCTCTCATTTTGTCCACCAATAGCGACACCTTCGCCCCAGACCCATTTAGCAGGGAATGAGAAATATTAGGAGAGTTGTAGCCATTCAAAGCATGAATGGAAACCAAGCCCTTGGTGTACCAGACGCCGCTCCGCAAAACTGCCCCCCATCCAAGTCAGTAGCATTCATCCAGCCCCCTTCCCCTCCCCCAAAACCCACCCCTCCCTCCCCACAAAAGGCCCCTCTCCCCTCCCCGCTGCACATCTCGCCAGAGGTCTTCAAAATCTTACAGTAAAAGATATATTTTTAAAAAAAGAAAGGAGGTTCATCATGGTCCAACCAGAGTATTGCTCGTGTTTATGGCCTCAAAGCCAGAAGGGAGGGAGGGAGGGAGGGAGGGACGGAGGGAAGAAGGGGTTTAACAAATCCAGAATTGCTCTCTCATGGAAACAAGGCCCAAGAGTACCTTGCAGTATTTACAAAGGATATAGGGACATTGAGGAAAAGGGGAAACATAATAACAATAATAAACCCACAATAACCTAAAATCTAGAAAACAAAAAGGGGGGGGGAGCAAATCAGTCATTAGGAATAGTGTTTTCTTTTTCGCAAAATATACAGTTTGTATCTGTTCTGCAGCAATGCCCTCAAGTGTTTGTTCCGCCCCTGTCCAAAGGCCCAAGAAACATTATTTGCTTTAAAAAGAAAGCCAAAGAGAGAGGCAAACTCTTACAAGGCCCCCCTCTCTCTGCTTTCTTGCTTCCCTTCTGAACTGCCTTTGTTTGACATCAACCAGTACTTTGAAAAGACTGGGCCCCCCCCCCCATGACCGAGTCTGTCCCTTCCCCTGCCACCCCCCCCAAAATATATATATTTATATATATATTTCTAAAAAAAACAAACAAACAAAAAGATTTCAAAAAAACCCAATAAAAATTATTCCTCAAGTAACGCTACCTACGCACAATCACAAAACAACCCTAAAGTCGTACGGAGGTTCGTTGTGGCGCTCCGAGAAAAAGAGAACCGGAACGAAAAGAGAACCGGAACCCATCCCCGCCCCCCCCCCCCGCCCGCCCCCCCCCCCAAAGACTACAAAATAAAAACTAACCCACTAACAAAATAAATAAAAGAAGAAGAAATCAAGGGGTGGGAGGGGGTTGGGGGAGAAGTGTAAACGGTCTGCGGTTACTACAATGAGGAGACAAGAGCTCCCCGGGGTTCGAATCCAGTGCTTTCTGGTCAACGGGAGGCAGCAGGGCTGGTCAAGAGCTGCCCGGCTGCTCGCCCCAAAGTGTGCAGTTTTCGTGACTCAAATGAAATCCTGGCTCATCGCTCAAGTTGTTACCGGATCCTCCAGCTCACCGTCTTTGCTTCGCTCGCTGGGGGATCTGTGGGGAGAAAAAAGAGTGGGGGGCAAAGGGACCATTCAGTGGGAAATGAGGACCAAAGACAGCACTGGACATTGGGCCCTTGGTATCCACTGGGGCTTAGGGCCAGGGCACTCCAAAAACTGTAGATGCTAAAGTCCCATGGTGGACTAAGAAGGTCAAACATCTATGCAGTGGCAAAAGCAAAACTTTAAAAAATATATTTTTTTCAAGCACTGTCAGGTGGACTCCATGCATGGACAAAGAAGATCATTCTTTGACCAACATTTGGTGCAGATGGCAAGTAAGGATCCCAGTCTTCTAAATCACATCCTACTAGATCAAATCAGGCAATAAAAGACTCACAAGGTCAATATTAACATCTTGAATTAAGTCCTTAGTTTCCATGCCCTTGAAACAGAAGTACCAGACAGTGACTTTCCACATGCTTCTAGGAAGCCCTCAATTGGGACAGGCCGACAGGCCTAGTCCTCCATGATAATGTTTGGACAAGGCAACTTTCTCCAACTCAGTACTCTCCAGATCTTCTGGACTACACACCCAAGCATGGTCAGCACAATGGGAGTGCTAGTCCAACACATCTGGAGAATGTCAGGAAAAGCTAAAGTTTCTGAGCAGCCTTCAAGGGCAGAGCAATGCAGAGCTCATCACAGTAGTCAAGCCAAGTAGTCAAGTAGACCTTACCAACATTATTCTTGGTCCTCAGCTTCAGTGGTACCCATTAGTAAAAGCTGTCGCAATCAAAGGTCCCTGCAAAAGAGCAACGTTTCATCATAGGGGGAAACTTGTGATACACTGCAAAGTCTCTGGTTTGCAAACATTCAGGGAAAGACATTACTCAACATTTGCTGGTGCAGCCCACTGCCTTGGGTAAAACCCTCGGCTTGACAAGTGCCCCATGCCCTCCCGTCATCACCACTCACCCCTAGGCTGTGGCCAAAGCCAGTACTTGGGGCGGGACTTGCCGCGCTGATGTAACTGCTGACTCCTGAATCCTGATTGGCTGCCCCATACAGTTCCGCCATTGGCCCGGGGCTGGTAGTGCCCAGGAAACCCCCAGTGCGGCTCGGGGTGGAACCTGCCGGAAGAAGCAGACCTAGCCAACCATAACCCCCAAAATGAGGAGCCCTGTCCCCCGCCCCGCACCCACAACCCCATGGAAAAACCACTTTTTGCGCTTGTAATCCATTCCCACTGAGAGGGCAGTGTGCCAGTTACCTGTCCCCCGCACCACAGCTGCTGCTGCCGCTGCTGCCGCCATTGGTCCATATGCAGTAAGGGGGATGGCTGGAAGGGAAGGGAAGAGAAGGAAAATATTAGAGCCAACCTAGTATGACTGATATCCAGATAGCATTAAATGGGTGAGTTGGACAAGTTCCCAAACCAAGCGTTTGGCACTGGGGTCTCAAAATCAATCGTTTTGGTTTCCCTCCCACAAGCCACAGGACAAAACAAAGGAGGATAAGGTTCAGGAGCCTGGACTTCACCTGAGATGGAGAACCTCAGCTTTTGGGGCTGATCTTGACCCTTTGGGCTTCCAAATATAGCCATGCTTCTTTCCCTACTACACTGCTGCTTAGTGGTTTCCCAACTTTCACAGATGTTAGTTGAAATGTCTCCCCAGGGACACAGTTACTACAAAGAAGAACCAGAAACCTAAACATATGGTGTCATATGCTCCCTTTTAACCTCTACCTCCACTCCAACACCAGAAAGTGGGCCCAAGAACGTCTCTGAAACCCTCTGATAAGCAAGGTGCCTGGCAGAGAAGGTGAGCCCAATGCTTGCAAAGGGGAAGGCTTGGCACCTCCTGCCCGCCCCGTGTCACGCCTGTCCCTGCAGCATCCAAACTATCGAAGAAAGAGACAGTGTGAGGGGATGTTATGAAGGGTGACACGGGGGCTTCCAGAACAAGTCAGTCTATTAGCTTAGAACAAGAGAGAGAGAGAGAGAAAGAGAGAGAATGGTGTCTACAAAGCTTGGCGAAACAGCAGCAGCGGGGAAATGCCCTCAAGCACTAGGCCAGGCCAAAGGGGTACAGGACCAAAGGGGAGGCAGCAGCGGGCATGAGGCTCGGGAGGAACAGGGAAAGAACAGCGGCCCAAATGTGTCCAAGGTTTCTGCCTGCACAGCCCTGAAGCAGGGATAGGGGATCAGTGCCCTTCCACCTGTGGAAAATCTGGAGGGGCTTTAAGACTCACTCCTGTGAGGAAGAAAGCAGCTCTCCTAAGTGGGTGCCAGTGAAGGAGCAGAACCGAGAGCATAAATAGTGTCAATCGGTAGCTTTAGCTGTGGGCATGGGACTGGCAACCTCCCGCCTGCCAAGCATTGGCTCTTTTCAGCCTTGACAAGCTCCATGGGCAGAAAACAGTAATGACCAGGGAATGTGTGTTTGACGGGATGGCAACTTCTGTTTGCATACATAATGTACGGATGAGGCAGTGCGTGGAGATGGGGTGTGGCCCGTTTTCCTGAAAAAAGAAACCACGACAGGGCAGATGGGCGCTTCAACTGGAGAGGTGAAACTATGCCTACCAGTTCCTCCAGGTTGCATTTCCCACTTCCTTGCCCCCAAATCTCATGGGAGGGGTAAATGGGAGGGTTTGCCATTTCTGAGAACTTCCCCTTCCCCAAACTGTTCCCGGCTTTCCCTTCCGGCTTCGGCTTCGGTTGAATGCAATCGGCGGGACTGACCTGTGAGCTCAGGGAGGACTGGGGCACTCGGGAGAGGGGTCCGCTCTACCCGGAATTCTAAAAACAAAAGGCAAGACATCTTAGGACACTTGGTCAGTTCCGCCTCCCGCTCCCCAGACAAGAGAGGGTCCGGCCAAAGAGGACGAGGAGGGGCAGGAAGAAAACATGAGGGCAAAGACAAAAACATGGCAGAAAAAGGGCATCCTCAGAGCTGCAGCAAGTTGGAGAAGGCCGGAAAAATATTAGGCTCAAGACGTACCCTCAAAGAAAGCACAAGGGTAGCTGCTCAGTGTCAGTCTTGACTTCATCTCCATCCCAATGTAAATGGGAAACAATACAGACTTGTTGTGAAGCACTTTGCCAATGAAAACATTGATGTCGGCAACCAGGAGCAATCCTTGCATATGACGGGGTGAGAGGACCAACGCTGTCCCATTTAAGTCAAAAACAGCCCTTAGAAATCCACTCCCGGTTGCCATTTCCAAAGGCGTTAAAGGGTTTAGAGAATCCAGTTAGTGCTGCAGTTGTTGATTCATTTCTATCTCGGTGGATCTGCTTTTATAAAAGGAATGCTAAGCCATCCAGCCTGAGCCGAATCCTAGAGAGCAGAAAGTCTGGAACAAATAGCCTCAGGCCATTCTCTGCTCCTCTGCCCCTTCTGTAAAGAGGTCAAGCAACAACAACAAAAACAAAACCACTGGCCTTACTGACAGACCGAAATCCAGAGCCTGACCGATGACAGCTCTATCTCTCATCGGCGGGAGACAAACAGCCTTCCCCTTTCAACTTCTCAGCTTGGCTGCCATAGCCAGATGGGATGTGATGAAAGCAAAGGCTGCCACCTGAAAGGAGGGTGACCTTGAGGAAACAGGATGGCTCCAGAGAGGAGGATTTTATTCCTGGCTCTGCTCCTCCGATTCAGATCCGAGCTCATGAGTTACACCTTCTAAAGAATGAAATTACCTACAACACACTGCTATGCCAGACAGGGATCAAATTGGTCCTTTCTTAAAAGAAATATAACCTATTGGTCATTGTGTTTTTCTGCTTTTGAACTTCACAAGACCAGGCTGAGTATCCTTGATCTGGAATTCCAAAATCCAAAACTGTCCACCCGGGGAGCTGAGAGTGACACTTTGACTTTCAATATATACAAGCTTTGTTTTGTGCCCTTATATCAACCTGTTTCCGGTCTTAAGTAAAGGTAAAGGTTTTCCCCTGACATTAAGTCCAGTCATGTCTGACTCTGGGGGTTGGTGCTCATCTCAATTTCTAAGATGAAGAGCCCGCATTGTCCGTAGACACCTCCAAGGTCATGTGGCCAGCATGACTGCATGGAGCACTGTTTCCAGTCTAATATCAGCTAAAATAGCAACCAGAAGTCATTGGTTGCTCCTGAAGACAGAAGTACTGTCTCCAGTTGTGATGCACAACTAAAGACAGATATACAGCTGACTACAGAGGTAGCTTTTGGCCCACAGAAAGGCCGTGCCCAAGGCTCTTATAAACCAATCAGAAGTGCATTTTCTTTTCTTTTTTTAAGGAATATTCCAAGCTCAGATTTTGATTTCTCAAAGCAAACTCAAGTTTTGAAAAAGCTGAGAGTCAGTTTTCCTGGGCTGGCAAACATCTCTTTATATCAGATCTGCCTGTGCCCAGCCCTTTCTGATTCTCAGTGGGATCGGTCCTGCCGGAAACCTGCCCTTGGATTGCGGTAAAGTGTTTCACAAGCGGCATATGATTCATCAGGGCTCAGAATAACAGCGAGGATCTTAGTCCTCTGCTCTGCTTTCAGAAAGGCAGCAGCTCTGGGAAAGGTCTGAGGTTGAAGGTTGGGGAGCAAAGGCAGCAAGAAAGGGAAGGGAGGGAGAGAGAGCGAGAGAGAGGCGCTTGCCAAGGGGCCATTTTTAGATGCCAAGGGAGAATCGAAGCTGCTCCATTGACTCCATCTGCTCCTGAAAAGGAAGGTGCTCAACCCTCGGGTTTCAACCCTGCATCATTCGCATCTCGCTGTCAGGGAGGTGGGGCAAGTGACAAAGAGTGGAGAAGACCAGCAGGCACCCAACCATCAAACACGCACGAAGGAGGACCTACCGGGAAACTGGTAAGTATAGCCAGGGGCAATGCCCGTGTAACTCCGGCTGGCATAGGTGGCAGCCTGAAACCCTGGGTAGCCTATGAAAAAGGAAAAAAGACAGATGCATCAGTGGTTTCACAGCAAGAGATGTGGAAAAGGGGCCTTTGTTTCATGAGGCCACTTATTCTCCGGGACGCAAGCAACTGGACTAAGTAGGGAAGCAATCACTCTGAGGGCACCAAAAATCCTCACCAGGTCGCTTTTGATTATCACAGAATCATTGAGTTAGAAGAGACCTGGTGGGCCATCCAGTCCAATCCCATTCTGCCAAGAAGCAGGAAAAACACATTCAAAGTACCCCCAACAGATGGCCATCCAGCCTCTGCTTAAAAGCCTCCAAAGAAGGAGCCTCCACCACAACTCTGGAGCAGAGAGAGAGTTCCACTGCTGAACAGCTCTCACAGTCAGGAAGTTCTTCCTAATGTTCAGGAGGAATCTCCTTTCCTATAGTTTGAAGCCATTGCTCCATGTCCTAGTCTCCAGGGCAGCAGAAAACAAGCTTGCTCCCTTCTCCTTGTGCCTTCCCCTCACATATTTATACATGACCATCATGTCTCTCAGCCTTCTCTTCTGAAGGAGAAACGTGCCCAGCTCTTTAGGCTGCTCCTCATAGGGCTTGTTCTCCAGACCCTTGATCATTTTAGTTGCCCTCCTCTGGACACATTCCGGCTTAGAGTCAACATCTCCCTTCAATTGAGGTTCCCAGAATTGGACACAGTGTGATTCCAGGTGTGGTCTGAGCAAGGCAGAATAAAAGGGTAGCATGACTTCCCTGGATCTAGGCACTAGACTCCTATTTATGCAGACCTATATCCTTTTTTTTTTTTTTTTTTTGCCGCCGCTTGACATTGTTGGCTCATGTTTAACTTGTTCCCCACAAGTACTCCAAGATCTTTTTCACATGTACTGCTATTGAGCCAGGCCTCCCACATTCTGTCTCTTTGCATTTCAATTTTTTTTTTGCTTAAGTGGAGTATCTTGCATTTGTCACTGTTGAAATTCATTTTGTTAGTTTTGGTCCATCATCTCTCTAATCTGTGAATTCTGCTCCTGTCTTCTGGGGTATTATTTGGCCCACCACAGGATTCGGGCCGCTGCCCTTGGCAACAGAGACAAGCAACCAGTCTTGGACAATTTGCAGCCCTACACTTTTCAAAATAGTGTCAGAGCAATGTGAGATGTTTAATTCAGGTGTGCCTGAGCTATGGTGATATGCTGAACCGTTGCTCCAGCAACAAAAATGTCTGCAATTCTCTCCTCTGCCAGAAGAGGGCATTGCAAGATGTCAAACGGACCTTCCCTGCCATCATAGAACCTGCAACAACAAGGCTTCCTCCTTCCTGCCTTCCCACAATCCAACAGAGAAAAGGTGGCAGGGCAAAGGGGAGCAAGAGAGCTCCTCTGCCAGCCTTACCCAACATGCCGATTCCAAGCATGAAGGCGTCCATCCCGTAAGGCATCACTCGGGACCGACCTCTTGCCGAGCCAGTGGGGGACATCACTTCCTTTGGCTGAGCTTTTTTACATTCCACCTGGCACAGGAGGCAAAAAGAGTCAGATCTCAGTGTCCGGACAAAGGGCCCCAGATTTACCAGCAAGAGATACTGGTCTGATAATAAGCCACACATTTTTGAGACTAAGCGGCATGTGACGACTGTGGGCAATAAATAAAGTCTGGAGCCCAGTCAGCTTTCTCCCTGGCCACCCCGTCCCAGCCCTCACCATTTTGTTGTTGATCTCATGGAAGTGGATCTCGCAAACCTTCTCCACAATGTCCTCACTCTCAAAGGTGACAAATCCAAACCCTGAAAGAAAGAAAGAAAGAAAGAAAGAAAGAAAGAAAGAGAGAGAGAGAGAGACTCAAGGCGGTTATTATTTATTATTATTATTATTAACTTTATTTGTACCCCGCTAGTATCTCCCAAAGGACTCGATGCGGCTTACAAAGGCCAAGGCCTCAATAAACAACATAACAATACAAAACCTAAAGCAAATTAAAAACAATTAAAGCAATATAAACAACAAGCAATAAACAATACACTAAGACACAATAAAACTGGGCCGGGCCAGAGTAATGGGTACAGAATTAAAAGTGCTGATGTGACAGGTGGTATATAAGGATTATAGGGTAAGTGCAGTATGCAGTTTGCGGCAATCTTAATTCTAATAAAGTGCTTCTGGGACTTGGTATTGGAGATTTCCTATTCTGGAAAGGCACATCGGAACAGCCAGGTCTTCAAGTTCTTTCTAAAGACTGCCAATGTAGGGGCCTGTCTAAGATCTTTGGGGAGGGTGTTCCAGAGTCGAGGGGCCACCACAGAAAAGGCCCTGTCTCGTGTCCCCACCAGACGCACTTGCGACGCGGGCGGAATCACAAGCAGGGCCTCTCTGGATGAACGAAGTGCACGCGTGGGTTCATGAACGGAGATGCGGTCATGCAGGTAGGCGGGTCCCAAACCATTCAGGGCTTTGTAGGTAAGCACCTGCACCTTAAATTGGGCTCGGAAAATAAACGGCAGCCAGTGGAGCTCCTTGAACAGAAGGGTTGACCTCTCTCTGTAAGGAGCACCAGTTAACATCCTGGCCGCTGCCCGTTGGACCAGCTGAAATTTCCGAGCCGTTTTCAAGGGCAGCCCCACGTAGAGCGCATTGCAATAGTCCAATCTAGAGGTGACCAAGGCATGGACCACCCCGGCCAGATCAGCCTTCGCGAGGTACGGTCGCAGTTGGCGCACGAGTCTCAATTGTGCGAAAGCTCTCCCGGACACCGCCGACACCTGAGCCTCAAGCGTAAGCGATGAATCCATGAGGACTCCCAAACTGCGGACCTGTGGCTTCAGGGGGAGTGTAACCCCGTCCAGCACAGGTTGCCACCCTATACCCCGGTCAGGTTTACGATCAACCAGGAGGACCTCTGTCTTGTCGGGATTGATCTTCAGCTTGTTCCTCCTCATCCAGATAGACACAGCGGCCAGGCACTCGTCCAGGACCCGGGAGGCCTCCTTGGAATTGGGTGGAAATGAGTAATAGAGTTGTGTGTCATCTGCATAGAGGTGGCAGCTAACTCCAAAACTCCGGATGACCTTTCCCAGCAAAGCTTAACAAAGGTTAAGGCAAAGCTCAGAAAGAATCCAAGCAGCAAATCCAGAACTGCTGTTCTGGGCCAGAGTGAAGAGAGGTGGGGCCAGGAAGACATTTCCACCTTGTCTCCTGTGCTAAGCTAATAATATAATATATTGTATATACATATATTTATAATATTATAATGTAATACAATATAATACTAATAATAATAATGCGATATTATAATTATATATATTGCATGTAATATTACTAATAATATTACAGTATAATGGTATAGTACAATACAGTAATATATAATACTGATATTGTGCTATGTTAATAATATAATGTATGTATGTATATATATATATCTTGTAAGCCGCTCTGAGTCTCCTTTGGGGTGAGAAGGGCGGCATATAAATGTCGTAAATTAATGGCACCTAGGCACTAGCACAGGAGCAGCCTCTTTCTCCACAGAAGCCTAGAGAGGATTAAGATGCTTCCCCTCCCCTCCGTAACCAAACTCCCCAAATGGGACTCTGAGAAAAAGTGTCCTGGGAGCAGAGTCACCTCTCTGAGCTGGGCAGAGGCAAGGAGGAGACACAGCTTTCATGTCAGCTTCTCCCAGGCTCAAGTTTCCCTGGTAAGACAGACACAGCGTTGGAGCTGTCAGGAAAAAAACTGCCCTCCCATCATCATAGGAAGCGAACAGACAAAAGCCTTCTGTGCTGGGGTAGAGGAAACACGGGTAAAAGGACACAGCGGATGAAGGAAAGAGGGTTGGCACAGAGAAATAAAAGGGAGATGCGACCCAAGGATGCCACAGAGGGATAGTGGCACAGGGTTCCCACAGAATGCCCTCCATAGGCACGTGTCATGCGTCATGGAGTTGGGCCTCACCTCTGTGTCTGTTAGTTGTCTTGTCGAACATGAGCATGGCATCGTCCACCTGGAGGAGACAAAAGAGTTGAGCAGTTGGGAAGAAGCGGCATCACATTTGGGGATGAGGTGAAGAGGGCACCCACCAATCATTTGCCCCCTCCCCCTTCACTGGCCATTCAAGATGGGGATGGGGGGCACTATGAACAGGCAGTCAGCTGTCAAGCTGTTTTAATGAGATGGCATATTTTTATGTGGAAGAGAGGAACTAGCCAGATGCCGAAAGGTTATTGAGAGGGTCCTGGAACAGCATGATGCCAATCATTGGCACTTCAAACAGCCTGGCCTACCTAATGTTGCCAGAGATCAGAAATTAACCAAGGACACCACTCAACAAGAAAACTATACACAGCAGCAGAAGATGGTGGTGGTCATGTCTTGCCACCAGCTGCCACTGCTATACAGGTAATGGGGTGGTGGTGGTTTGCCTCGAGACAAAACGCCTTGGCCCAAGTCTCCGACTTGTGTTCTTGTTATGGGCCTTCCCGTTGACATTTGAGGGTTTCTCAGCCAGATTTATCCAGGGGACGTTCACCACTGTCTCACTCTCAGGTTGAAAGCATCTGACTTTGCCCAAGGTCACCCAGTGGGTTTCATAGCTGAGCAGGAATTTGATCCCTGGTTTCCCAAACTCCTCTTCCAGTCCCTAGGTACATATGGACAATCACTTATCCTAGTGTCCTAGTGGTAAGTTACAGTTTAGGAATGTAATCCCTTGGTAAACCACACAATTCAAATGTCCTTCCAGGATGAGGGCAATCATACCATAGCTGGAAATCTGGAGTTGGGGGAAGAATCTCCTTGGCCGGGGGACACAGTGTACCTATTGCTTTGGAATATGTTTGGAGGAACAATTTTGGTAGCCCATCAAATGAACCCCAAGCCCCCCAAGTTTGCCATGATAGGGAAGGATGGTTGAAAAGCATCTCTTAGACATGATTTCAGTACTCACCTAACATATGCAATGGTTGGAACAGAGTGTGTATGTGCCAAAAACTGGCCCCATTCAGCAAAAGAGAAGGCTGGAAACAGTGTAGTTTGCTGGGTTTCTTGCTCAGCTACAAACCCATTACCCCACGGATGGGGACGTGCAAAGAAGTTGAAAGTGAGTCTCTCTGGGAACCAGCCACATCATTCTCTTGTGTACCTTGCACAGAAACACACAGAGACTGGCTTCCCTTAGTGACGGCAAGCCGACAGGCCAGGGTGGAGGGGGGAGAGCGGGGTGAAGCACACAATGGGCTTTCTGTCTTCAGGTCAGAGTTGGTGTCAATTGGCAGGCCTGGCCAAACCAAGGCTGAGGGACTTTGAGCAGAGGAAGCCAAGAAGATTGCCCCATTTCCCAACAGCCATTTGGGGTGGAAGTGGCCAGCTGCAGGACTGGGACTTTGAATAGCAGAGGATACCTAACGTCCTAGCCATTAAACCCTAGGATGCCAGGCCTACCACTTCCCCTGGTGCCCCAGATCCCAGAGAACAGCTTACTAAGAGCATGGGGTTGTCTCGCTTGTGTCCCACAATCCTGATAATATTGGTGATCTTGGAGAGGATGCACTTCATGCCATACATTTATCAGGTGTCCTTAGCCAAATCTATATTATATGAGTTACCAAGATGATGTGATGCATCCTCTTTACAGAACACCAATATGTGTGCACATCAGCAGTCAATGTGCATGGCTAACAGCCCCTTGGGCAACTGCAATGCACAAAAACAATGCCCAGAACCAAGGCACTAATCTGTGTACTTGAATGTGCAATGGTCCCATTGCAGGAAGGGAGGCACCGAAAATCATTCAAATCTGGAGCTCTTCTGTTTGACAGTTGAGCATTCCCTGGTTTGCTGCACTTGGGCCGTTGCCTAAACTATATCTCCAAAGGCTCAACTGAACTGTTAGACTATTGTGATGGCAGAAATTTGGAAAGAACTAGAAAAATGTCCAGGGTGGGGTCAGAATTTTTAGCAGGGCAATGCTTGATTTGGAACTGAGAACTAACTGCCTTTCTTCTACCTCTGTGGTTTTCTAAAATTCCTCCCTTTTCAGATAACAAACTTCAAGTTCAGGCTCTTCGTGGACACTTGTGCAGGAAAGGAAAGTGCATCAAACACCTTCTTATGAGAAACTGAATCGAATATAATTCTAAATTACAAATCAATATCGAAGAATTACCCACAAGGAAAGAAAATGCAACCAGTTTACAGAAGAAGGACTTGGTGAGGGCCAAAGGATAGGAAAGGAGGGGACCCCTGTACTAAAGGAGTGGCCAATTGCTGGAGAATTTCAGTTACCAAAAAGCATCAGGCAGAGCTGAGCTACCATGGAAATGCACTTTCTGCAATTACGTACTGAAGGCTCTTATTAGGGAAACCACAAGGCTTTCAGGCTGCCAGCCCAGGAGGCCAAAGGCCTAGGGGAAAGGAGGCTCACAGCAGCCCCTGCTAAGCAACGGCTTGGCCTGGTGCAAGAAGCCAAGGGAAAATGGTGGACGGGGCCTCTCTGGGAACAGCCAGGCCGCCAGCTGGCGCGGTCCCCCGAGCTCTCTACACACGTCCCCAACCTCCACAATCCTCCTGGAGAAAATGTGTGTCCTCAATAGGAGCCCGTGGCCATGGAAACCCAGGGCAGGGGAGGTGGGATAAGCAGTCCCAGTCAGCCGCCAAGTTCAGGCGGCCGAGGGCTAAGCGTAAGTGGCAGCCCTTGGTGGGCAGCTATTGCTGGGGCTGACCGTTGGGTGCCGCGTGGGGCCGAGCCCCTGCTGCCGGGTTTGGGGGGGCAAAAGACCCCCCGCAATTCTTCCAGCCGGCCCTCGGGTGCCTTTCTTCTCGAGAGGCAGCCTTGGCTTTGCCAACGCCCAAGCCAGGCCCAAACAAAAGAGGCTGCCGGGGATGGCTTCTCTTGGGGCCGGGTTGCTGTGGCAACCCTGGCCCCTCCAATCCCCGGCGCTGGCGCAGATTAGCGTGAGCACTAATGCGCTCTCGGGCAAAAACGGACACACCAAACAGGCACCCGGCAGGGGTGAGGCCTCCTCTCAGGAGGGGACGAGGGCCACCATTTCCACGTCTCTGTCTCCTTCCTCCTTCTCCCAGAGGCCGACAAAAGCTGCCGGTGATGGAGAAAAATAAGAGAGGGGCCAGGGCCTCCCAGAGGTCTCGCCTGGGCTGCAGCGCAGTCACAAAAGGCCCAATTAAGTCCCCGTGCATCCACTTCGATAAGCTACAGGCAAAGGGAGGGAAGGAAAGACAAGAGGAAACATGCTTCCTTTCAATCGCCCAAGGGCCTTTCCTACCACCCAGTTAGAGCACTGCACTTCCACTTTAACTGCCACGGCTTCATCCTGCAGAATCCTTGGATTTGCAGTTAAGGAAGGCTCTAGTGCTCTCTAGCTCAGATGTCTAAATACCCTTCTGTAAATAGCGAACAGTAAGCCAAAATACCCTGAAGGTATTGATCCCACCTGAACTCAGAAGCTAAACTAAAGAAGTATCTGCATGGGCTACAAATCCCGTCTGATCTTGGAAGTCAACAGGAGCTGCCTTGGTTAGGACCTGGATGGGGACCACCAGTGGCTACTAGGTGCTGAACACTCTACTTCAGAGGAAGGCACTGGCAAAACCACCTCTGAGGATTCCTGGCCTAGGAAAGTCCTCTGAAGTTCATGGGATCACCACACGTTGAAAGCATACACACACATTGCCAATTTCTGGATTCCGTTGCCAAGACGGGTAAAGTTGAATCACAGAGCTATAATTGCATAGTGCGGAAGTTGGAGATTCAATGGAACAAGCAGCAGAGCCTGAACTTCAATCAAGTAATGCTTGCTGGCCTTCCAAATTTTGGGGACTTCCATCCACCTTGTGTCTCAATATCCCACTATCTAGGCTCTCAAAAGCTCTGTAGAATCCAAGATCACCTGTCCCTGCTGTGAATTCCAGTTCACAAAACCCACTCCTCGTCCAAGTTCTAGCCAGGCCTCCGACTCCTCCTCTCTCAAACCACGAGGAGCACAACTCCTAAAATGGTAGGAGAACATGACCAAAACCAGGTACAATCCCAAAGCCCTTCATGTCATCGTTCTACCCTCAATGAAACATTGATCATTCAATGAAAGCAAAGAGCAGCTCATGATCTGCATCCTTTTAACCCAGGATCAACTGGTTCCAATGTCAGCTAGGTGGTGATTCTACTCTGGGTTTTCATACAAACTCCAAGAGGCTGAACCTAACCCGGGGATAAGGATCAGCACCTTGGACAGCTCAAACTAAAACCTGGAGTGGATTCCCCACTCCATTAACAATGGAGCCACCACAGCCAGTCTCCAAGAACCCAATAAATAGATTGAGAAAGCCCTAACATGAAAGTCTCATATACAGCTATTCAAAATACCAGTTGGGTGACCCAGAAACCCCTCCACCAGGTCAAAAGGAGGAACAACATTGCCATCTAGTCAAGCAGAGCCAGGCTGCCGCCTGCTGATGTCCGCAGTTAGCATGCTGTATAGTTATTAGATGATGCAACTTGGGGGAGACTGTTTACTAACAGTGACTCGACTCTTCTATATAATCTACCACGGCAACGCTTTGCCATTGGCAGCCAAAAGCCTTCCTGAAGGAACCTGCCACTTTGGCGCGTGGGCACAAGGCTCTTCCTTGAGCCCTAGGTTTCGAGACAGCTGGTATAAATAGCAAACTCCCCCTCAACCGCTTTGCCTTTCAGTCTTCAGACATCCTATCCGGCGGTGGACTCTGACCCAGAGAGAAATGCATTTGGGGTTTTATTTTTAAATAAACGCAGGAGGAGGAAGGGAAGCCTCACCACCAACCACAGAAGAGGCCTAGGACTGGCAAGGGTGCCCGGTCTATGTCTGGACCAAAGGGTCAGGACCGGCACAAATGGAAACCTCCTCCTCTGTTCAAAAAATCCAGAAGACATTCATGCAGCCTGTCAAAGAAAGGCATGCACCCAAACCTTCTTCTCCCCCAGTTGTAAGGAGAGAAGTGTTCCATCAGGCCAACCCACAGTCAGAAAGAGGCAGGTTGGTCACCCATATGAGGCCCCAGCCTTAGACCCAATCTTATTTGGACTTCTTCTAACATGTTAAATTCTTTTCTATGCTTCTAGTCATTCAAAGTTCCTTTGTATGGTTTATTTTAGGCTGATGGGGTTGATTTATATCCTTCAACAGGCACCTTCTGGATGCACTGGACTGCAACTCCCTTCAACCCAGGTTGAGGAAGCCTGGCTTATCTGACCTTTCTCTGTACTGAAACAGAGCCTGTTCAGGATCAGAACAGCTTCATGGACTTACAATCATCCTAAGGGTCATTTTTTAGTAAAAACAAGCTGTCTTGGGACTTTGGGTACAGAAGGTTCTGTTGCCAAAAGGGCCAGCAAGCCAATCAGGTCTCCTACAAAGGAGATGTGGTTGACCTCATGCCCGTAACGGACAGGACTGAACCCCATGTCAGCTGTAGAATTTTAAGCAGAGGATGTGAAATTGAATTAGTTTCTTGTTAGGATTTGATGGGTCTCTCATCTTGCTGTATTTTGGAATCTGATGCCACATGGATTTATTTGGGAAATGGTTGAGACAAGATGGGCTTTGGATCCCCCTCCAGTGTCTTGCCCAGCCCCATTCACACACAAAGGTTCCACAGGCCAAGAAAGAGTTCCTCAGAGGAAATCCGGTCGCATCCTGACACCATCCACGGGGACGAGTTCCGGAATCCGTTCGCTGGAGCATGGTGAGGAGAGGGACATACACATACCATTTCTCTTTTTTTTTTTTCACTAACCCTACTTAAATATTCTACGTTCATTCGCTAGGCGCTACAATCTGGAGATATGCAAATGGAAAACGGCTGCTAAACACATTGCTACCGCAATTGTCTACACTGTGACCTTCAAAACTACAAACAGAGAATTAACACAACAGTGAAGAGAAAGGGGGGAAGAGAAAAATAAAAACACTAAACAGCTGAAATGTATATATAAATATTGTTGGTCCTAAATCTAGGTCTAACTATACAGAGAATGATCATCTATCTACTAAAAAGTCTTTGGGCACACTACATGAGTAGAAAAAGAAAAAAAGGGGGTGAGGCTGGTTGTGTGATTTCTCAAGCCGGAAGACAGAAGAGGAGGTGGGGGGAACTACACATTTCGAATTGTACCTTGGATCTAGGAAAGGCTGGGACACGAACTTCGTGCCCCCTTCACTTGGCCACTAGTGATCAAAGAGCATCCATGACCACATAGGAAGGGGCTCTGTGGAAGCAACGTCATAGAAGAGAGCTTAGGAACATGGCACAGCGAGGCTGGTACAGAGTGAGGGGCTGTTCAGGAGGGACGGAAAGGGACCGAACAACCACAAATCTTCAAATGGCATTGGACAGAATAGAACGGGGCTTTATTTCCTGGGCAGACCGCGAGTGAAGCAAACAGCACTTGGCACATGCAGCTGGCCCTGGGGCAAATGCATGTTGCTTTGCCCAGGAGACACTTCTGATTTTTTTGTGTGTGTCAAGAGTGACTTAAGAAACTGCAAGTCGCTTCTGGTATGAGAGAATTGGCCGTCTGCAAGGATGCTGCCCAGGAGACGCCTGGATGTTTTGATGTTTTACCATCCTCGTGGAAAGGCTATCTCATGTCCCCAAGCTGGAGCCGACAGAGGGAGCTCATCCACACTCTCCCCAGATTTGAACCTCCGACCTGTTGGTCTTCAGTCCTGCCGGCACAAGGGTTTAACCCTTTGTGCCACCGGGGGTTTCTGATAAATTGTAGCCATAGAGCAGCACTCATCTCTGAGTAAAGAAGGGTCTCAAATGCTACACCAGACCATACACAGCGCTTCCTCCATGCCATTTGGATAGACCAGTTTGGGCAGTTATCCAAATGCGGTGACACTGTGAACAGACAAGCGGGRAGGAGCAAGAAGGAGACAAGTAGATGCCAAGAAGGCCATGCTGTCTGGGAGACCAACCCCATTCGAACTCCCCCCCCCCCCCGAACAAAAACCTCTCTGTCTTCCACATTCGGGCCCCAAGATCCTTCCAGCACTTGCTTAGAAGTAAGCTCCATTGATTCAAAGGGGATTATTTCCAAGCAAGCACACGAAGGATTATAGGCTTTCCCAAAGCTTGGGGGGGGGGGGAGTGATGAAGTTGAGAGGAGGCAATGTAAGGGCAAAGAGACCCACCCTCACAACTGTTATAATTATTCTCATTTCCCTGTCTAAAATCACTAAAGGATTCCAGCTGTGTGTTCTTTGCTCACACAGCCCTTTTCACATTGCCAAGAGACTACATCGTGGAACCCTCTCACCCCATGCAAACCTGGAAGAGCATTTCCAGGAGGACAGAGGCCCGTATTAAATAGTAGGCAGGGCTACTCAAGACTTTCCATTAGAGACATCCCAATGCCTTAGAATCTGGGAAGGCAAAAAGTCCGAAAGAGAAAAATTAGAATGGAGAAGGGGGTTAAGGCAAACCGAAGGCTTAGGAATGGCTTGCTCCTGGGCCAGGATGTCTAATATGGTTCCAGATCTCGTGGCTTAAAGCTCTGACAAACCCGCCTTAAATCCAGAAGCTATTAGGGTCACCTTTGCAGATGAGGGTTGCATGAAAATCACTGAGCCCTGGTTACATCAGGTCTGGTGTGTTTATGCTACATCCGAAGGGCACGTGGTTCCTTTCTTCAACAAAACCCACACGTCTTTGAACATATCGTCTTGTGCTCGTAACAACGAAGAGCCATACGAACATTTCTGTCCATTTATACTGGTAGTAGATTGGCTTTATACCTGACTTTTGGCACTGTGGGCCAGAACTATACTTCCCAGATTTCCTTGGTAAAGAGAAGGTTCATGCCTTTTGATCTACACTGAAAGGAAGAATACAGTACAGAGTTCAGCCCAATGCAAGGCACTTACTTTCCCAAACTGCTCAAAGTACTGTTTCACATCCTCCACAGTGGTATTCACCGACAGGCCGCCCACAAAAATCTTCTTAGTCCGTGTCACCATCTAGAAAAGAGGACAAGGAGGCAGCAAGACAAGGAAATACATCACCTGAGGGAGCAAAGACCCCTGGAAACATTCCTTTTCAGGACTAAAACTCTCAGAATCCACCCAGCTTGGCCACCAATCCCCAAAGCTGAACTCAATGCTCTAGGATTGGGATATACAGTTCACCTTGTCCTGAATTCAGGTGCCAAAAAATGGATCATCCCCATAGGTTTCTCACCGCCACTTGAGCCTACAAGGGTTTATGGGCAATATTCTGTGCCCTTGGGCAAAATGATGAATGCCTTTTAGTCTCCACAAATACACAGCTTCTTCAGGGATCCATTCATTTAAAGAACCAGCCAGTTTCTTCTGGTGGACTATCATGCCCAGAATGCCTCATCTAGTTGAAAGTCCAAAAAAGATACATTTTCCAACATCTGGAAGGGGGGAAAGGTCTCAAACAGAAGATGATCTTGGCTGCCTGACTCATTATGCCGGCAGAGTTAAAACTATGTCCAGGTCAGTTGCCTTCTAATGTCCGCTATTCCTGTGATTCAGAAGAAGTAGATGGAGATCATACTCCTGTTTTCCGATTTTAAACTGGGCTCAAATGATTGGCACAGAGGGGGTTTTTTAAGTGCATGGAAACAGAAACATGATTCCGTCTTTTTTCCAAGGGAGCTGACAGCAAGATAGGAAGTGGCCCAAGTGCTGAATCAGGGTGTTGGTGTCTTTGGTTCCAGACTGTCTATGTCAGATTCTTTCAACTGAGTGTCCTCTAAATATGTGGGCCTACAATGCCCATCAGGCCCAACTAGCATGGCCTATGGGCATGAGAGTGGCATTGCCAAAGGGGTTTGTCCACCCTTCCAGGTAAGTTCAGGAATCAGATCTTGGAGCGAGTGGGCACTCCCTACCAGACCAAGGGCAAGTTACGTTATGGATGACAACTCTCAGAATCCCTCAGATAACACGAGTCAGGGAATTTGAAAGTTACCGTTCAAAAAGATGGAACTTTCCTGAGGTTCTTCCCCCCACAGCCCCCACAAAACCCATGTCCACACCAGGAAAAGTGCAGCCGCAGTCCCAGATTTGTTTTTACAACCTCCCCAGCCTTCCCTTCCTCCACCTTCAGTCCTAAAGAACCAGCTGATCCCAAGAGGGACCCTCGGGTGCCCTCTGAATCGGCTCTTCCTTCAGCTGTAGTCAGAAACACATGCTCCTAATTACCCCCAAGGAGCACTACAGCTAATCCACCACAATTCTCGGGCTTGGAAAACAGCCCATCCCAAGGCTAAAGCCCCTTCTGTCACCCAACTGCTTAATGGAATTAACCCAATTCCAACCACGAGCTCCTGGCACCAAGCACTTGGGATACCTGGGCACCATTTGGCCTGATTGCCTGGGCCACCCTCTTCCAGGCCCTGGCTTTGTCCACTGTCTTTAGAGTTCAAGAGAGGGCAAGACTCCGACCCCTTCAAGAGTTTCCCAAGGTAGTTTGGGCCCACCAAAGGTAAGCAAAGGAAGACTCATGCTACATATGCTACCCTAGTTTCATTCTTGTGTCCATATCTTAACCCATTCTTTTTCATTAAGGGTTAAGACTGGAAGTGTATTGGGGCCAGGCATGTAGCCAGGGGAGGGGCTTGAGGGGCTTCAGCCCCCCCCCCCGAAATTCTCATGGTGGTTCACGAAAAGGCCTTACTGGTACATTATTTAAACTGTTATGTTTATTCATATCATGATCTGATCATCATGCTCAATATATCTCATATGCTTGGGGGTATTGGGGTAACAAAAGGTTTGCTAGGGTAGACCCTCTTTCACTCAGATTCAGCCCCCCTGAAACAAACGGAGCCCCCCCCCGGAATCGAAATCCTGGCTACGGGCCTGATTGGGGCAAAAACCTGTTGTTATGTACTCCTCCATGCATCCTGTGGATGGACCCATTGCTATGGAAAGAAGGCTCTATTTCTGTTGCACAGCCATAAATGCCTGAGAATGACCAAGTCCACTTGGGGATTTTAGTCCAAACTTCAAAGGACCCTCGAAGGTACTGAACCCTAGCCCCCTAAATAGGTCAACTCCAAGTGTGGACTAGGAGCCAGAGCAGGGATACTAGGCACCCACTTTTGGGCAGCATGAGCCCATTTGAAACCTCAACCTGCAACCTGTGTCACATCTGAGGAATGCCTCTTTGGGCAGGGAGACTTTTCCTATGTGGAGATATCAGGGGTTTGACTTGCACACCTTTTCGTGCAGACCAGGGGCTCTGCCAACCTCCCATGGCCCTTCCCCCAGCAATCTAAGCCCTCAAGCCAATAATCTAGCTGCCAAGGACAGTCCAAGGTGGCACAGCGTGCTCACAGCAGGCAGGACATAGATTACATAACAGGGTTGGGGGACCTCAGACCAAAGAAGCTCCCCAATCCGGCTTGCAAGGTGCTCTGGGAAGGAACACCCCTCTCTGCAACCCAGACACCTTAGATGCAAGGAAGAAATGGAGCCTCAGGTGCAACCACAAAGCTGCATGGCTCACATCTTCAGACCAAAGAAGAAGGCCCATGGGAGTAAGGCTGAGCCAGAGCATGATGCCCTATACCTGACGTTATGGAGACCAGCTGCAACTGAACTACCCTCAATGCCATCACCCCATACTGAGATGACTGGCAGGTAGAGTACAGCAGTAAAGCAACAGTGTGGAAAGCCTGGTCTACACGGCACCCAAAGCCCCTTAAAAATTAATATATTGCCCGGTACTTTTTCACCCTCAACCTTTTTCCGGTGGCTCATAACTAATCAGAATGTAACAATTTTGCCCTCCCCACCCCCAAGCCTACCCCAGATCTTAAAAACTCTGCTAGAACCCCGAACACTGGCTGGAAATGGACCAAAATCAAAACGGAGTGACATCATTGGGCTTTGGTAAGCCAGCGTGGACCATGGGGGTGACAACTGACTCCCTGGTAGCCTGAAATTGCCCACCTTAGTGGAAAACTTGGGACTTCATTGTGCCTTTTTTTGTTCAAGCAGTCCAGACTCCCCACGGCTTGATCTCAAAGGTATCCCTGCCCCAACTTATGACTGCACAGGAAAGCAGATACAAATGTGAAACAATTGCACAAAGACATGCCAAGGTTAGGATGTATAGTATGCAAGATGTAATAAGTTCTGCCGTCAACCCATTATTTTTTTTCAGGCAGCCCCAGGGCAGGGATCTTAGCATTCTAGCAAAATAACAGGGCCTCACACCCACTGAGTTGAAGTTGCAGCCGCAAAATTTCTACCCCATTTGACTACCATCAATAATCATGGTTAGGTCTTCAAACCGTGTTGCCCAAGCCAGTGCCCTCCACGTGGTCTGGATTAAGTCCTCATCCTCCCCCTGAGGCCCATTCCAATTGCCCTGGAATTGTGTTTTTGTGACACGACTTCATGTGCTTTTCCTCTCTACCAGCTTTTCATCCGTGCTGGGAGGAACCTTAAGCCCTGGTTTGGGAAGAAAAGGCCAGATGCAAAGAAAAGAAGAAAGCTTAAATGACCACTGCATTTGGAACTGTTCAAATGTCAAACGGCGGCTTTCTGGCCACTTTGCGCCAGGGTCGTTTTCAGCACTTCCACCACAGGTTTTGCAACTGAAGCGTTTAAGCACTTATCTACCGAGCCAGCCAAATGAAATGGCTTAATGCTTCTGGATTGGCAAAGGAGAACTTCGTAACCATTTAACAATCATGTATCAGTTGGACGGTGAATGTCTCCAAACACTAAATGGGACCAACTTGAAAACAGTATGTACCTTGGGCTGGGCTCTGCGTGGAAATGCCACCTTTGGGTCAATCTGAAAGAGAAAAGAGGGAGATGTTACAATGGTACCAAACTCAATAATAACACATATGGATGGAAGAAATGGAGTCAGTCAACACACCAGAGGATCCTATGAGCAAATAAAGTAAAATAATGGTTCGAGCACTGGACTCAGGCTCTGGAGAAGAAGGTTGGCATCCTCGCTCAGCCATGGAAAGCTATTAGGCGACCTTAGGCAAGTCACATTGTCTCAGCCTCAGAGGAAGGGCATGGCAAACCCCACCTTTGAATAAATCTTGCCAAGTAAACCCCATGATAGGTTTGCCATAATTCAGAAATGACTTGAAGACAGCCAACAAGCATGAAGGATATCCATGGGATTTCCTAGATACAACAAACCATCTCTACTAGAACAGAGGTCCCAGTCCACCAAGCATTCCTCCCATACAAAGGTCACTGAAATGAACTGGGTCTGCATAAGGCTGTTCTTCCATAACTCTAGCTCACAACAGCTTTCATGTAGACTGTCTGTTGACTTGTTTAGCTTCAAGGAGCAACCAAAGTTTCAACTAAGGAACCCAAAAAAAAATACAGAAACCTTCTCCAACTTAATGTCCTCTAAATGTATCACAACCCCTGCTCCATACGTGCTAGGCCACAACAAGCCTCCCTGCCAGGGATGATGGAAGCTCTATAATACTAATCCACAATGACTCAAAAGACATGGGATCCTGGGATTTGTAGGGAAGGTTTCTCAGAAGCCTTTCCCAGAGGATGTAGTGCCTCACCAAAATAGAAGCCCTAGAATCCCACAGGTGGCAGTGAAAGTGGTTTGTAAAAATGTGCCACGTTCCTTTTAACCATTATCAGATATGAGATGGGGAAGGAAATGCAACTGGCAGGGTAATGCCAAGGGAGGTGAGAAGCTTTGGCGGCAGGCCAGCAATGCCAGGGCTGTGACAGATGTGCCAGCCAAGCACTCTGCCACCCCAGTGATCCTGCCAGTGAAGGCATGCTGGCAGAAGGGAGAACATGGGAGCAGACGGGCCGCACTGGGGAAAGGGCATGGATTCTGCTCCCTCCATGGAATGATCTCCCACTCGCCAAGCACCAAGCATGGTATATGGTATCTTCATTTGCAGGCACAACCCAATAAAGTAACTGGCTGAAACACATCATGAGATGAAGGCCTTCCCAATAAGGCCATGCTGCCAAATGAGAATGCCAAGCAGATCCACATTTGGAAACTCAACACTGTCCCTCCAAGCATAAGATATCAAGACTTATTTAGAAAGTCCACAAGAAAGACAAATGTCTTCCTTTGCTTGCTTGCCCCATTGCATCTGTTATCGGCCCCATCAGTGTAGCTGTATCGCACAAGTCCTTGCCTTGTTGGTGGCCTTGGCCCTTGTAAGCCGCATCGAGTCCTTCGGGAGATTTTAGCGGGGTATAAATAAAGTAAATAAATAAATAAATAGCCCTTTAGTTCTGAACATGTCCACTGTGCTCAGCCACTGACTGTTGATGGTTATGTTCTTATGATGTTTTATTGTATTTTATTGTTTCATGTTTTTAATTGTGTTTGCCTAGGCTTGGTCCCCATGTAAGCAGCCCCGAGTCCCTTCAGGGAGATGGTGGCGGGATAAAAAAATAAAGTTGTTGTTGTTGTGGTTCTTATTGAGAAGTTCCAAATGGTACACTGCTCCTGACCCTGGAGGTTCCATTTGATCAACAACAACAAAACCCTCCCTCATCTAATCTGTTTAGAAACCATCCAGACAACCACCAAAACCACATCCTGACGCAATCTGGGCAAGGAACAGATGTCCACTAGATACCTTTGATGCTAAAGCGTCAAGATTTCCAGGCAAGGGGGATTTCCCTCACTTTAATACTAGTAATTGCAGGTTCTCTCTCTCTTTTGTGTGCAGTCATAATTCTTCCAAAGGGAAGAATATCTTCCTGCCTCTCCAACTTAAGGGGGGGTCAGCAAAGGCAAGCCTTCCAGATCTCTCTGTGACTCCAGGAATTTTTCCCTAGGGTTGATACTGGCAAGGACTGATGGGAGCTGCAGTCCGGCAACATTGGTGAAAGGCCAGAATCCGCCAAGAGGTCTGCATCCTCGGGACGGCAGGAGATCCAATGGGAGATAGCGAGCCCAAACAATTGTCCCCTGTATTTCCCAGCTCTCTGCCAGCTACATTCAGCTTCTGCCAAGATGAGACCTCCCATCTTTCAGACAAAGTTAACCCAGGCCTTCCTCTCCCAGCACAATTCGTCAGGAAGAAGGGGTCCATCTGCTGAGGACAAGCAGGCAGCCCTTATAGGAACAGTCTTCCCCTGAAGGAGCAACTGTTGCAAGCAAACTACAATCCCAGGGTCCATTGTTTCATTTGTCCCCATCTGACAAAATATACCCGCCCCCAGACATTTCCTAAGTCCTCTTTTCTAGGGCATCCCTGCATCAGTAGCCCTTCATTTCAATAACGTTCGCTATTATCCACACTTCCGCCTATCCACACAAAGTTTGGGACAGATATTTCTCTATAGAAAACCTGCATATCCCATCTCTCCTCCAGAGCTCTCCAAGGTGGAGCACTGCTTGGCCATGAGGTGTTTTTGAATCACAATCCCCTCAGGTGTTCTAGGAGTTTGCATTTTAAAAAGTAACTGTGAGCATGTGAAAGTGGCCTAACTAAAAAATAAAACCCAAGTTGAAAGCTGGAGGGATCCCACACGGACTAGATCAAAGGCCAGAACTCTCCTACAGTTTTAGAACCATGAAGTACACCAACGTCGATCTTTTTTCAAGACTTGACAAGGAGGGATTTCATACCTCCTTGTGCAATGCATCCTTCTCACATGATTGTTACCAATTGGGTGCCACATTACACTGTTGACTCATTGTCAGCTTGTGGAATCTTCTTCTCTTGAGGTTTTTGAGCAGAGGCTGAATAGCCATCTGTCAGGAGGGTTTGGATTGTGTCTTCCTACCTGGCAGAAGAGAGCTGGACTGGATGGCCCTGAGAGTCCCATCTAATTCTATGGTTCTATAATCTATGGGGAAGAATTGGGGGGGTGGGGTCTTCTGCCCAGGCAACAGCATTGCCTAAGACAATTTTCTCCAACTGGAAAATAATTCCCAGCCGTTCCAACCAGCTTGGCTCTCTTTCATTATTCCCATAGGGAATAATGAAAGTTGTGGTCCAAGAGGTTATCAGGCTGGGCAAACTGTGACCAGGTCACAGAGATGTCTGCCCTTCGGCAAGCTGTGCTCCTCACTCCTCAGTGCCTCACCTGTCGGAAAGATGGATAGAGGCAATAAAACTGATCTACCGTGCAAGGTTGAGATCACATGCACCTGAAGCGCCGTCAACACTCAGAACGCTACATCAACGCATGATGATGAGTCGCCTGATAAATAATGATTGACACCTTTAAAAACCTCTTTGCCTTCATTTCCCATCATGAGGACTAGTGACCTTATAGCAAAAAGCAAGGGCACCTTAAGCCCACTACTAACCTGAGCCCCATGCCATGACCATTCAGGCCCATGAAGCTATACATTGCTCCCTTCTAAATCCAAAATGCCCCCTTTGCCCCACTTCTCCTGCCTCTGGAGAACCTCCAGAATCCAGATACAATCAATGCATCATTGAGTCAAGCCACAGTAGCCTACAGTCCCACAAACAAGTGTTGAGAAAAAGCCCACAACTGCCCCTCCAAGACCACATAGTCCCAAGGAGGCACGGGCAAACCCTTAGGAGTCACAGTCTTCAGGATCGGTTCATCCAGTGGGAACTATCACTTCAGGGCTATAAAAATGCATTACTTTGGGGGTGCAAATGAGAGAAAGCTAATGATGGACTGGTCCAACTATGGCAAAGGTTCAAGCTTTTGACATAGTTGGACCAGTCCATCCTACCTCACAAGACTGTTGTGAGCACAAAGTGGGCAGGGCAGAGAGGGAAAAAATGGGATATGCTGCCTTCAGCTCATAAGAATAACGAATCCGTCAATATCTTTGGCCTCCTTGAGAGCCAGTTAACCCATGCCAAACACCCACTGCCAGGGTGGCACTACAACACAACAGATAGGACCCTCTTGATTTTCACCAGGGGAAAACTCCCATCCGCTTGAAGGAGGGACTAGTTCTAAGAGATCAGGGACACTTAAAAAGGAAATTATCCCTCCTCAAAATGTTGCCAGGCCTAGATCTGACCCAGCAGAAGGCAACGTTGGTAATGAGAATTTAAAAACTGATAAAATGTTCTCATGCCTTGAGTCCCCACAAAATCCCCCCCCCAACCCCACCAAAGCCTAAGTTATACCAGTCAGAGGAAGATGAGACATAAAGATTTACAAACCAGGAGAAGTGCAAAATTTTTAAAATTAAAAATCTCCAGTCAAAAGAATTAAGGCAAAAGGTGGAAGTTCTTCCCTGATTTCCCTGGAGACTCCCCCAGGTACCCGCTTGTGAATAATATTGGATATTCCCAGAAAGGTGTTGCCATTTGAATGAGAATTTTGTATTTAGCGGGTAAGGGGATTTGCCTAGACAAACGTCAACTCGGCCTATATAAGCTTTGATGAGAAAGTAAGTGTGGTGAACTACAGCTCCCACAACCCTTCTGCTTCACCTTATAACCAACCATGCCACTTGAAGGAGTCTAGGAGTTGTAATCCCCACCAGCCCATGGGTGTGCATCATCGCCAAAAGGCGCTTCCTCGCAGCCAAGCAATGTTTCTCACGGAAAGCCATTAGCTCGTGTTTGGAAGGCAGCTCGAGTCCATTTTCTGGCAACTTGTTTAGGACATAATGGGTATTTTATTCTATTGGCTTTACACGGCTGTTGGCTGGTCCACGTTGCCAAGCAGATGATTTAGAAAGGCGGCAGCAGAGCAATGACAAGACAAGGTGGCCGGTGTCAGAGTATCCCTCAAATGTGGGCTTTTTTACTGTGCCCATGGATCCCTGAAGGTTCTGTGAATTGGGAGCAAAATAATCGTTTCCCTCCCTCAGTATCCTTCCTATTACTCTGAAACCTCTATGAAAGTCCTTCTTTTCCCCTGGGGTCCACAGTTTTTATTTGACTCTCAGGGGCCTCCAGAAAGATTCCCTAAAGGCACCTGATCCCATCTGATCTTAGAAGCTAAGTAGGGTCATCCCTGGTTGGGACTAGGGTGGGAGACTGCCAGTGAATTCCAAGTGATATTTCAGAGGAAGAAACTGGCAAAGCCATTGCATCCTAAACATGAACCCCTGGACTGTTTGGAGGAGGGAAGACCTCGACTTTGGCAGGACAGTTGCTACTTATTTTGTCTCCTTTCTCTATTCATTCCCAAGTAACTTATTCCAAAGTAAGCACATAAGAGATAGGTATTGAAGGCCCTTCTAGTCAATAATACCAGAGGAGGCTACATTACGTAGGACTTTGGTGGTCCACTATGACCACAATCATTTCAAAGACAGTTTAAGGCAGCATTTCTCAACCTAAAAGTCAGGACCCCTGGAGGTTATGAGGGGGTGTCCCGGGGGGGGGGGTCACCAAAGAACATCAGAAAACACAGTATTTTCTGTTGGTAATGTGGGTTCTGTGTGGGAAGTTTGGCCCAATTTTGTCGTTGGTGGGGTTCAGAATGCTCTTTGATTGTAGGTGAACTATAAATCCCAGCAACTACAACTTCCAGCAACTACAAATGCCAAGGTCTATTTTCCCCAAATTCCACCAGTGTTCACAGTTGGGCATATTAAGTATTTGAGCCAAGTTTGGTCCAGATCCATCATTGTTTTGAGTTCACAGTGCTCTTTGGATGTAGGTGAACTGCAACTCCCAAACTCAATGTCAATGCCCACCAAACCCTTCCAGCATTTTCTATTGGTCATGGTAGTTCTGTCCGCCAAGTTTGGTTCAATTCCATCGTTGGTGGAGTTCAGAATGCTCTTAGATTGTAGGTTAAGTATAAATCCCAGCAACTACAACTCCCAAATGACAAAATCAATCCCCCCCCCCCAACCCCACCAGTATTAAAATTTGGGTATATCAAGCATTTGTGCCACATTTGGTCCAGTGAATGAAAATACATCCTGCATATCAGATATTTACATGACGATTCACAACAGTATCAAAATTACAGTTATGAAGTAGCAGCCAAAATAATTTTATGATTGGGGGTCACCACAACATGAGGAACTGTATTTAGGGGTCACGGCATTAGGAAGGTTGAGAACCATTGGCTTAATGGATGTTTAAACCACTTCTTCCCCAGTTCCTGAGTCCAAGATCCAGCATCGAAGAATTACGGGGTTGTGTTGGGTCTTAAAACATATCAAGCCGGTCAAGGGATGGGAGCAAGGGAATATCCAGAAAGACAGGCTTAGATGAACACTCCAGACAAAGAAGAGTGCCCAAGGTGCCCCCACATACTTCCCACTTTGTCCCCTCTGTCCAGACGCATCAGAGGCTTTCAATAGCCAGGGCGACCCCCGTCGTGTTATCTATAGCCTGAGACCTCATCTGTTCTCTTTCAGTTCACTTGAGCCTTCCTTTTTAAAAGCCAAGAGGGACAAAGATCGCCGGGCAAGGAGAAAGGCAGCCAGCAACCCTGCATTTCATCTCATTGGTGTCCCCATAAATATGCCCATGGATTAGAGCCACTGATATGCCCAACACTTGCTCCTTTCAACTGGGGAGAGAGGACCCAACAGCCTCTTCCTACCGAGATCAGTGACAGGTTTAGCTGATCCAGCACCAGAGGAAAGTTTAGAGAAGACGAAGTTGTCTCCTTTCTCCATAAAACTTCTCTTCCCAGCTACAGCATAATCCTAAACAAGACTATCAGAAGGCAAAGTCTCACTTGTGGCAATAGGATTTATTCTCAAGTAACCGATGATGGCAACTTCCATTTCATATAGCAACATATACACAGCTTTAAGAGCCCAGCATGTTTCTCAAAGCAATACCTTTCCCATTTCCTGCATCAGATGCCTTAAAAACTAAGGTGGGAAAAGGATTTAGTTTGTATTGCTCTGCTTCCAAAAAACCTTGGGGCAACTGCATTGAGCAAGACTGGGATAAGTTTAAAGGGAACTTTCTAAGGAAGGAACTTCATGGAGCAAAAAGGTTTTTCTAGTTGAATCCCAAAGGAAAGATGTTCCCTTTTGTTTGGCTCAGGCCATGCATTTGATCAAAACTCAACTTCAGTTCCACACAGTAACACAGAAGCCCCTTCAAAGTTCTCTCTCGCAAGCCTCCATGAAAATCAAAGACAGCAAGACATAGCTTCCCAACTTTTTTGTGCATCAAAACTCTTTGGGAGGCTGTTCCTTGGACTTTTAATTCATTCATGGCTGGATGGAAAAAACACCACACAAGAATGCCCCCTTGTTTGCTCTGCACAAGTCTAACCTTGAGCCCGGTATCTCAAGTCCTGAGATTTCTAATCCAAGGGAAAGCGGTTAAAAAGTATCCGCTAGAGATACTCCACAGCCCAGTGCCATGTGTCTGCCAGGATGAATACTTTTGCCCTCTGTACAAGCAAGCACCAACGCTGCAACGCTAGATGCACCAGAGGACCAATTGCCATCTCCATCATGGAGCACCCAAGTCAATCTGGAGAGAGATGGGCTCCAATCTGCTCTCAAACACAGTGCCTTATTCCCTTATTCAAACGGATCTTGCTCTGGACACCTGTTTAGCTGTCAAGACATGGAGGAGAAACCCAATGATGGGGTGCCAGCTCAAATCATTTCAACTCAAACAAAGAATCCAAATGAAATGCAGAAAGAAGGGATCAGATGAAAATCAAGTTGCCTGTCAAGTTATGGCAACTCCATGGTTTTCAGACAAGGAGTTTTGCTCATGTGCCCTCCTCCAAGTAGAGATTATTAGTCAGTAACATCCATTAGGAATATTCTTCAAAGTTTTTTGATTGCTTGTCACCCACCAGAGTCCCCAATTGAGAGAAAACTGTCTTATAAAGACTCTTGATATATATAAAGGTTTTCATCTCAGGCTCTTAAAGAAGTTAAGCAAGCCCCAGTTGGACCAGCCTGAGTCGCCCGTTATTAGCCCACCAAGTGCCCACCATCTGGTGAGAAAGCGGAATGGAACAGCTGCACTGGTTGTTGATCACTTGGGCAAGCCCCCCTCCTCAATGCAGCCGAGACAGGCCCAGCAGAACCATCTTGCCCCTTTTCCCGGTCCCAAAGTGGGTTGGTCCCTAAGCAAGCAGAGGCCTAATAAAGGTGGTAGTGGCACAGTTGCCCCAATGTCAGGAAAAGTACTCTCTTATAGACAAGTTGGCAAGGCACACACTCAATCGTTTCTCCTTTGCTTCCTTCAGGAGAGGATAGGGAAAGCACTGACAGGCAGGAGACAGCCGACACAGGCAAGGATGCATCGGGACCACAAAATTGCCCCTTTCCTAAGTGTATCACGGAGCTGAATGAAACCCTCTGACCTCCTGGAAGGAGAAGCCAAGCCCAAAGCACCCTGGCTGTAAACAGGGGCCCAAAACTTTGCAGCCCACAAAATCATTCTGTCCAAAGTAAAATGAAGAGCATCTCTTGAAGCACATGCTGGGATGATTTGGCCCACTCTGTGAGGTCCTGACAACCTCCATCTCAAGAACTTGTGGGCACCAGCAGAGCCATCAACCCTAAACCTCCAAGGGATGCCTTCTGAGGTACTGAAGAGGCCTACAGGCTCCCAAATTGGGAGCTCCTTGATGGACCAAATCCTGCCCTCTCCTTCCACTGACTGAGAAATCAGACAAGGATAACCAAGGAGTGGGTGAGAGAACACGCCAAACCCTTGAGTCTCCTTCAAGATGGTTGGCACCAGGCACAAGGAACAAAGTCAGAAGCCAAGTGGGAAAAGTGAGACACAGAAACAAACATATCTCGGCTTCCTTTCAGCACCACACTTGCCCTCAACCAATTCGCATCTCTCTTGCCGTGCCACAAAAACAAAACTTTGGCCAAGCTGAGAGACCTGGCGGTGGCCTTTCCTTCACCCGCACCAAGCCCAAAGCGGCCGGCAAGCCTTCCAACGCCAACCAGAGCCCAGGATCGATACTGGCTGCGCTCGCCAATCCCAACGCTCTGTAATTGCAAATTAATCCCAGACCCAGCGGAAGGAAAGCCCCAAAGCCAGAAAAGCAGACTGTTGGGGGGGGGGGGGGGGGGGGAGGCAAGCAATGGATGGGGGTGGACCCCACTCACCGTCTTGGAGTCCAGCTCGTGCCGGGACTGGGCCAGGACCTTGTCCACGCCGGCTTGGTCCACGAAGGTGACGAAACCAAAGCCCCTGCAGCCACAGCAGCAGCGTTGTTGGAGAAGCCGGCGTTGGCGAAAAGGAAGGAAGCGGAAAAGTTGGTCAGAAAAGGGGGGGGGAGGGTTGGGAGAGAGATGGGGGGCCGGGAGGGGTGCGGAGGATGGGGAGGGGTACTCACTCACCTGGAGCGCTTTGTCAGCGGGTCCCTCATGACCAGGCACTCCTTGACCTCGCCAAACTGGCCAAAGTATTCCCGCAAGCCTTCTGCGAGAAAGCACAACAAAAGGAGGAGAGGTGGCGGAGGAGGCCGGGCCCAAGATGGATGGAGCCCTGCATCCCAGCCAAAGAGGAGGACGCGGACTTGCCCAAAATGGCTAGGGCGAGGAGGGGGAGCCTGCCTCCATTGCTCTCTCCTCCCCAGGAAAGGGAAGGAGGAGGCCCCTCTCTGCCTTGCTCTCCATCACAAAGGCACCTCTCCGCCCCCGCCATCCGCTAAGTTGCTGGGATGTTATGGAGGGCGGGCGAGGGGGGGGGTCCACTTGGGAAACTTTTGGGGGCGGCATGGGAAGGGGATCCCCCTCGCCTCCCTTCTCTTTCTGCCCCAATCCCCCCTCTCCCGCCCCCTCGCCAAGCCCAAGACTCACCTTGCGTGGTCTGCCAGCTCAAGCCTCCGATGAACATTTTGCTAAAAGGGAGAGAGAGAGAAAGGAGAGAGGCGATTAGAGGCGGGAAGGGGGGCCGCGATCGGCCATGTTGGCGGCCGCCTGCCTCTTTGCCTGCCTGCCTGCCTGCCTGCTTCTCCTCCTCGAGGCCGGCCGTACCAAGGGTCGTGGGGGGAATCCGGCGGAGAGGCCAGGCCGGGCTGGGCGGCGTCGGGCTCCATGCGGACCGCGGAGGCAGCAGAGGCGCTGGAGGAGCCGGAGCAGCAGCAGGAGCCGCGGCGCCGCACTCGCGGGGCAGCCAAAGCCGAGGCGCGTGGGCAAAGGGGCCGGGCGGGCAGGCCATGCGGCCCCCTCCCCCGACCCCGCCGAGCCGGGCGGAGGGGGCGGGGCCAGGAGGGGGCGGGCCTCAAAAGGGGGCGGGGGCGGGCGCGAGGCTCCGCCCACTCTGCCCGGGCGGGGGGGGTATAAAAAGGCCGCCCTGAGGCCCGCGCGCTCTTCGGGGGGTCTGCCCTAGGGAAGGAGGGAGGGGGAGGGAGGGGGAGGGAATGCACGAAGTCAATAACAATCAAAGACAGCCAAGGGAAAGAAGAAAAGGGAGGGAAAACAGAAGGCTCCCTCCTCTCTTTCTTTCTCTCTTTCTTTCTCCCTCCTTTCTTTCCCCCTCAGGCGCCTCCAACAAAGGTCTAGCTCGCCTCAAGAGGAAAGGAGGGAGGGAGGGAAGCAGAGGAGAAGCCGCGTCCCCGCTTTGTGCTTCCTCTTCTTCTCTACCCGCTGAGGGAGGCCAAGAAGGAGGAAGAGGCGGCCTCCATGGTCAAGGCGAGCCCGAAGGAGGAGGAGGAGGCCGCCGCCGCCGCCCCCCGCCGCTTCCCGGGCCCTTCATGGCTCTCGCAGGGAAGCGCCGGCCCGGCCAGGCGAGGGTTAACAGGCTCAGCCAGCCGGCAACAATACTCCGCATGTGACCAAGGGGGGGGGGAGGGGGAAAGGGAGCAAGAGGGAGCGCGCAGGCGCACTCGGAGCCCCAAGGCAGGGAGGACAGGCCAAGCGCCTCACGCGACGCACGCGCCTCTGTAGGCCGCCTTGCCCTCAGGAGGCGCGCCCCAAAGCAAGAGGGAAATGGGTCGGAGGGTCACCCAACTCGGAGGAGAAGGGCACCTCTAGCGGGTCCTGGTTCTCCCACGCTTTTTTGGAGGGAGCCTCAAAAGGGGGGCTCCCGTTGGTTTTCCCCAAAGCGTGTTTCTCCCTGAAAAAAGGAGCAAAGCGTCCCAAGATGACTCTTGGATATCACTTCAAAGGCCCCTTCCACACAGCTGTATGAAATCCACATTGAAGTGAGTTATATAAGGCCAGGTCAGTAAGGCCTTCAACAAGGTCCCCCATAACCTTCTGGCAAACAAACTAGTCCAATGTGGGCTAGGCAGGGAAGTGCTGGCCGGGTTAGGTGGATCTGTAATTAGTTACGCAAACAAACCCAGAGGGTGCTTCTCACCAATGCTTCCTCTTCATCCTGGAAAGATAATAATAGTAATATAATATAATATTGAGAGCTGACTAGCCATGGAATCTTATTCCCGGGGAGAGGGAGGGGTTCCGGAAGAGTCAGGCACCATCCAGGTTGTGTGGGGGAGGAGATTTGCAGGTCACAAATTTCCCAGGGAGAAGCGCAATAGAGTTCTTTCGACCCTGGAGAAGGTAGATTGTGGTAGACTCCATGGCAGTCTCTCCAGACTTAAGATCTTGCTGTTAAATGCCAGGTCTGTTAATGGTAAGACCGCTGCCATCCAGGACTTGATACTGGATGAGAGGGCTGACCTTGCATGCATCACTGAGACCTGGTTGGACGAGCTGGGTGGGGTAAATCTCACCCAGTTATGCCCACCTGGTTTCGGAGTGCACCAGCAGGTTAGGTCCAGGGGGCGGGGAGGAGGGGTTGCAGTTGTCTTTTGGCAATCCATCGCCGTGGTCAGATGCACTGTTCTGCAATCATCTAGGTTTGAGTGTGTTCCCCTGAGGGTGGGGAATCATGATAGCTTAGGGATCCTACTGGTGTACCGCCCACCCTGCGACTCAGCAGTTTCCCTACCTGAGCCAGCAGATGGGGTCTCCAATTTGGCCTTGGTTTCCCGACATATGATCGTGCCAGGAGACTTTAACATCCACGCAGAGACCTCTTTGACAGGAGCGGCCCAGGACTTCATGGTCGCCATGACAACCGTGGGGCTCTCACAAATTATATCTGGACCCACCCATCAGGCTGGACATACACTCGACCTAATCTTTGTGGCGGACAGTGGAACAGTCAGAGTGGAAGAACAAAACATCCTTCCATTGTCATGGTCTGACCATCATCTGATCAGTTTTAGGCTTTCTGTGGCCTCTAACCTTCACAGGGGTGGAGGACCAATTAAGATGGTCCACCCCAGGAGACTGATGGATCCGGATGGATTCTTGAGGAATCTTGGGGCTCTTCCTGCCATGGAGTCTGGCGATTCTATCGACATCCTGGTTGATCGCTACAATAGTGAGATGTCCAGGGTGATTGATACGATCGCTCCCGAACGCCCCATCTCGTTGCGTTGAGACACACCATCCCCTTGGTTCACTGAGGAGCTGGCTGTGATGAAACGTGCGAGGAGGGGGCTAGAGTGCATATGGAGGAAATCCCGGGACGTGTCTGACCAAGCACGGGCTAAAGCCTCACTTAAGGCTTATACCGTGGCTATACAAGCAGCCAAGGAGTTTTTCATGACTGCTCGTATAGCGTCTGCATCCAATAGATCTTCAGAGTTGTTTGGGGTTGTCGGATAACTCCTTCACCCTCCTGAGGTGGAGGAGGCCTTTGATGACCCGACAACCCGGTGCTGCGAGTTTGCGCACTATTTTGCAGACAAAGTTGCTCAGATACGCCTTGAGCTGGACTC